GTAAAGTCAATATAAATAGCTTACAATTAGAAGATACAAAGAAAGGAAGACCTCCATTGAAAACAAATTAAAATGGCAAAGTAGTTATGCATAAACTTAACCAGAACTTTTAAAGAGTCTTTGTAGAAACATAAAAAGTTACTTGAACAAATGGCAAAGGAAAATATATTCTTATGTGATGCTCAGCATCATAAAATTGTCCATTTTCTTCAGCTTGCTTTGTAAAAGAACATCATTCCTCCCCCAAATGCTAACCTTTTTATTGGGGGGGGGGGGCGTGGGTAGTGCCTGCAACTAGATAGTAGACTATAACATTCAACTTGGAAAAAAATTAGCAGCAAATAGTTGGAAAGCTGAAAATGAAGGGCACTGGGGATGAACCACTGATTTTCAATTATACTGTAAAAGTTCAATAATTAAAAGTGTATTATTGCCCAGTGGCTTGGGAGGCTGAGACAGGAGAATGGCGGGTTCAGAGCCAGCCTTAGCAACAGTGAGGCACTAAGCAATTCAGTTAGACCCTGTCTCTAAATAAAAAAAAATGCAAAATAGGGCTAGGGATGTGGCTCAGTGGTTGAGTGTCCCTGAGTTCAATCCCCACTACCCCACCCACCCACCCAAATTATTATTGGTGTGTAGACAAGATACCAATGGGATAAAATAGTGAATCAGAAATAAGTCTAAATGCATGAAGGAATTTAGTATGTGTTAAAGGCATCATTTAATAAATGGTATTGAGGGCTTGGGTTGTGGCTCAGTGGTGGAGCGCTCGCCTGGCATGTGCGAGGCCCTGGGTTCGATCCTCAGCATCACATAAAAATAAGTAAATAAATAAAGGCCAAATAAATAAAATAAAAATAAATGGTGTTGGGATAATTGGATAGCTGTTGAAAGAATGATGAATTTGAGATCATATTCCACTGTGTACATTTGGATAAGACTAAGTGTATCAAACAGTTAAATGCAAAATTTAAATGTAAAAAGAAGAACCCTTCTACATTACAAAAGAAAATATGAGTGAATTTCTAAATATCTGTGGAATGGAAAATACCTTTGTAGCTATGACTTAAAATCCAGAATCCACAAAGTAGAAGAGTGATGAATTACTAAAAGCTAAAAGACATGGCAACCTGGGAAACACTTTTGTAATTAAAAAAAAAATTAAGTTGTAGATAGACATAATACCTTTATTTTATTTATTTATTTTTATGTGGTGCTGAGGACCAAACTTAGTGCCTCACACATGCAAGGCAAGTGCTCTTCCACTGAGCCACAGCCGTAGCTTCTACTTTTGTAGTTTGTAACTCCCAAGTGTTGCACTTCCACCAACAATGTTATTAATAGATGAATGGTTAAATAAATTGTGGTATATTTATACAGTCTAATACTGTGCAGCTATATCAAAAGAGAGTGAAGAAGATATCTAAAGATAGAAAAATTCTCCAGTGTATTAGTGAAAAACAAAGCAAGGAACACAATTGAATTTTTCGGTAAAAGAGGAAGAAAAGTAATATTATGCCTATGTTTATAATTAAAAACAGTGGAAGGACAAGAAAACCAATAAAAATTATTTTACCTATTAATGTGTAGACTGAGAGTAGTTGAATAAGGATGGTACCTAGACTTCTTTGTCTATACCTTGTTTTGAGTTTTGAATCATACAAATTTATTACTTATATAAAACTTAAGTTTTTTTTTAATTAACAGAACAAGAAAAATGTTGAAAATTTTGGGGAAAGTTATTTGTAAGAAAAGTGAAAAATACTTTTATTTGATTGAAGTTCAATTGTGATAGAATGTGACATAATTATATACCTAGATTAAACATTTTAATACCTCATGTCTGCTATCCTCCTTCTCTTCTTTATCCAAACAATTCAGTTCTAATACCAGTAGAGCTGAGCACAGATACCATCTGGTAGAGGCACACTGACCCAGACCTGGGTATCAGAGCCTAGGTAGGTTAACGAGAATATTTGCATAAGTTGTGATCTAACATGCCTAAGTGGAAGAAGGGGGGCACTCATCCTTGGTATCAGCTTGTGAAGAATGCACTTGAATTCATGGGCATCTGTTTCTCATGTAGACAAGAGAAATGGGAGACTAGTTATATCCAAGGACGTTGATGAAATAAATCTCATTCAAGATGATAGAAAGCTTATTTCTAAATGTGAGAGAAGGGAGGTATAAATTAGGAAATGGAGAAAACTACAGGAGCCATATGGATTTGGATTGGAGATTTTGGTGCAGATACATATGCAGATGTAGTAAATGTAGATATATATGTGTATGTGTATGTAGACACATAAATGTACTTTCTAGTTCTGCTCATTGAGAGGCCCTGGGGGCGATGAGACTCCACTATAATGAGCATCATAGTATCCACATTTTTCTAAAATCTGTTTTATGCTAAAAATAACCAGATCTTCTTCGAGAATTGACTTGTGCCTGGGTTGTTTGGGGCAGGAAAAGGTAAAGGTAAGCCTGAAACTTTCTGTGCTGCAAGTGCCAAAAGTGATGGGAACATATCAGAAACACATGGAGGCAGGTGTGGTGGCACTTACCTGTAATCCCAGCAGTTTGGGAGGCTTGAGACAGGAGGATCACAGGTTCAAAGCCAATCCCAGCAACTTAGCAAGCTTATAAGCAATCTAGTGAAACCCTGCATCAGAATTCAGAAAATTAAATCAAAATAAAAAGGACTAGAAATGTTACTCAGTGGTTAAGTGTCCTTAGAGTCAATCCCTGGTATCAGGGGAAAAAAACAAAACAAAACAAACCCACCAAAAAAAAAAAAAAAACTGAAAAGTTCCTGGAATTCACTTTGAAGAGACTCATTGACCAAATTGAAGAAGACTTTATTATAAAACAATAAATGACAGTATTAGAATAAAACTCACTGAATGTACATATGACTGTATACTTACATCAGTGAATAAATTAAAAGTTCATTGAGGAACAGAGAATTTATATAGTTTCAGAACTTCATTGACCAAAATACTAATTACAAGGAGAAAATAATTTCGTCATAGTGAAGATGCTTGGTAGATGGCACTTAAATAAAGTGATCATTAGTATTAAGAATATAATCAGGGCTGGGGTTGTGGCTCAGTGGCAGAGCACTTGCCTCACACATGTGAGGCACTGGGTTCAATCCTCAGTACTATATAAAAATAAATAAAGATATTATATCCATGTATAACTAAAAACATTTTTAAAAGAATATAATCACTTAATGGGACAAATTGAAATCATAAGCTGTGTGATAAGACTCAGTGAGGACACTGTCACTTTTTGTGATATTCCACCTCAGTATGCATAACCTGAATCTTTATCATAAGAAACATGAGACAAATTGAGTCTGCAAAATAACTGCCCTGAAATCTTCAAAGTGTCAAGGTCATTAAAGTCAGAAAGGAGACTGAGGAATTTTTTCCACCTTGAATTAGAGTATAAAAAGAGATAATAAACATTTAAATGTAAGAATATGATCTGGGTCCTTTCCCTCTATGGGATACTCCTTGGACAATTGGCCAATTTTAGTGGAGTTTGAGGATTAGATGATTATAATGTATCAAATAAGATTTCCTGATTTTTTTGTGGTATTTTAGAAATGTAGAGAGTAACATCTTTGATTTGAGGAAATGTACATTATTTAGAGCTGATGGCACATCAAGATGGCAACTTATTCTTGTTTGATTCAGAAAAAAGGTTTTTTTGTACTAGACTTGCTACTTGTTTCTGATTGAAATTGTACAAATGGCTACTAAAATTATAGGACAGTTATATAAAGACTCACTTTTTAATAATGTTTATGATAAATATTTCTTAAGAGGGCGTTGCTTGATATAAAGTATGTAATCACTTTTCTTAGGAATGAAAGTAAATTGTAAAGAAAATTGAACCCCTTTTCCTAAATCTTCTCATTACAGAACTGTTCCTAGTCTGGGTTGCTGATTGTGCATTGTTTACTCCTTAGAGGACCATCTGCTCCTGTAGTTGTTGCCATGTGGTTCAAAAGAGCTATGGTTTAAGAATGTAAGGGAGAGCCAGGAACAGTGGCTCACACCTGTAATCCCAGCAACTCAGGAGGCTGAGGCAGGAGGATTGCAAGTTCAAAACCAGCCTGAGCAATTTAGCCAGGCCCTAAGGAAATTAGATCCTATCTCAAAATAAAATATATATTTTAAAAAATATTTATTTATTTTTTAGGTGTAGAAGGACACAACACAATGTCTTTGTTTTTATGTGGTGCTGATGGTCGAACCCGGCTCCCGCCCATGCTAGGCGAGCGCTCTGTTGCTGAGCCACAATCCCAGCCCCTCAAAATAAAATATTTTAAAAGGGAAGTGGGGCAGGGATGTGTCTCAGTGGTTAAACACCCTGGGTTCAGTCTCTGATATCTTTTCCCCCTAAAAACACATATTTTTACTAAATTTTATTTGTGTATGCATTAAATTTTATTAAGAGATTTATTTAATTTTATTCAAAGAGTAATTTAGGTAAAAACAGAATAGTAGCCTGACTCAGTAAATGCTAATGTGAATTAGCTTTTGCTGTCATTTGTTTTATTATACATAAAATTACACATATTTGCATAATTATTTAAATGTCTTTTTTTTCCTGTTAGATTGTTAATTCCTGTGTTCTCTAGGGCTTGGTATACATAGTACAGTACTTTTGTTGACTGATGAAAGAGTGGCTTGCAATAGTAGAAAAGTCAAGCTGAGTGGGTTTTAGATATAAGACTTAGTAGCACTTATAAACTTGGTGAAGTTGTTTAACATCTTTGGACTTCATGGTTTTTATATGCGAAAGAATTACCTTTCATGGTAGAGAAAATGTACATAAAAGCTTATTGATCAATAAGTAGTGTTTCTAAGATGAGGCCAAGGGTACTTATACTAAAAATACTAATATTTTTAGTGTTTATTATAAATGGAAATACATAGTGGAGGTCCTTTAGTTTATGTTAGTTCCCTGGTTTAACTTTTCTCTAGTTTCAACGGTACATCAGTTAGCATGTACAAGTTCTCTAAGGTATTATAATTATTTTATTATAATGTGTGTAGTATGTATGCATACATATATGTGTGTGTGTGTGTGTGTGTGTATTTGTGTTTACATACATATTCCCTTAAGTGTCATTAGGTAGGGCTTTTCTTCCCATTAAACAGATAGCAAATGAAGTTTTAGAGAAATCGAGTAAACTGCCCACAAATCATAGTTTAATTCATTTCTAGTTCAAAAGCACTTCTTTTTTTCCCGTAAGCATTTGGTTAGAGATGATTTAGGGATTATTAAATATCCTCTTTGAAATGCCTTTGATGATGATGGTAAATGTAAAATAGTCTTCAAAAAATGTGATTTCAGTCAAATTGTGGCTGCTACTACCACTACTTTTTTTTTTTTTAAAGTACTGGGGATTGAACCAAGAGGGCTTACAACTGAGCCCTCTCCCCAGGGCTTAGAGATAGAGTCTCACTGAGTTGCTCAGGGCCTTACTAAGTATCTGAGGCTGTCCTCAAACTTATGAGTTCTCCTGCCTCAGCCTTCCTAGTTGCTGTGAGATTACAGGCATGTGCCACCATGCCGATCTTATTTGCTTCTTCTTAAAGCCTACTGAGACCTCTCACTTGGAAGAATGAGTATACTGGTGACCAATAAAACATTGAAGTACTATTATTATTATATACAATGTATGTATTACAAACATTGGTAAATTGCAGCTTTGGTAGTTGTGAATAGTGAAAGCTGTAGAACCCATTTGGGATGGGATATGATAAATTTATAAGTTCATTGCCTGAATACATTCTCATTTCAAAAAATTAAGCATATATATACTACATACATGTATGTAATAAGGTAAAATAACTCATTTGCATTTCTCCTCCCATTCCTACATTTCTCTCCAGCATGTATACATAGTTACCTTTTGAAAACAATGTTATTTGTATTAACTTGTAATAGGTTTGTTGTTATATTTAATTGAGTTAATAAATACTTTAAAATTTCTCGATTTTGACTTCTAATATAGGAAAACATTAATAGCTATAACTCCAGTGAACAAAAGCCTTTGGGATTCTCAGTAATTTATAAGAACAAAAGGGGTTTAAGACCAAATGATTTGAAAACTGCCACTGTATATTATTAAGTCACTGTAAATAAATTTTGTTTAGACCATTATAATATAGAAAAATTCTTGTGATTTAGTAATATCAGTGAGAAAAGTGCAATAAAACTCCTCAAATGTTATATCTGTGTGTCAAAGAATAGCAAGTAATACTGAAGAAAACATAGCAAATTAAAAATAGAGTTTATATTAAATTATATTATTTTTAGTTATTTCATCCTTGGATTTTACAAAGGTTTTTGTGCTGTGATTAAATTTGTATTGTATATTATTGCAGCACATGACTAAACCAGTAAGAATCACTTCAGGTGAAGTGGGCTGGCACGAAATAATGACAATTATTTTTCTTTGGGTTCTGTGATGGCTTCTCTGACCCAGCTCCCACAAAGGAGGCAAGGCAGGCAAGAAAGAAAGCGAGGAACACATTCTGAACCTTTTTATTGGGGAGAAGCCATTCAGATGAGGCAAGGGGTTAGGTTTCATGGGGTTGAATCTAGCTTTGTGTTGTCTTGCTATCAGCAGATTGACTAACATCTTGGAAGGCCATGCCTATCCCGTTTGCTGTGTGGGGATCATAGGCAGAATGAGTAAAAAGAACACATACATTGCCAGCCCAAACAGAGAGGCGACACCAGTCCAATCCACTATGTGTACTCAGTGCTCATAGTTCACACCCACACACAGCCCATGGCTGGCTCGCTGCATACATAGCTCCTGTCCAGAGTGGCTTCTGACAGTATATGGTGAAAAAATCTATTAGAATATGAATTGGAATATCGATTGTATTTCAGAAACTCTGCAGAGTTGAATGCCAAGATTAGAATAGTGAAGCTGAAACAACAGTAGGCCTGGTGTTAGGATAATGGACCATTTATCAGAACTTAACAAATGAACTAAGAGGGTTGGACTTAGGTGCTAATGGACCCCAAGAGAAGAATTCTGTGGGTCCAAATCAGAACAGAGCTCATTGGTTAGGTGGAAACCCAGGAAAAACCTAAGGTGAAAAGAAGACAACAAGGAAACTATTCTAGAGAAATTCTCTTGAACTTTCATTAGTTGTTTATGACTTTAAAGTGCTGTATGTTTCTAGGGCTGGGGTTGTGGCTCAGTGGTAGAACGCTTGCCTAGCATGTGTGAGGCACTGGGTTCAATCCCTGGCACCACATAAAAATAAACAAATAACTCGGCTGTGTATCCATCTGATCCTGGGCTTTTCTTGGTTGGTAGACTTTTGATGGTGTCTGCTATTTCATCACTTGAAATTGATCTGTTTAAATTGTGTATATCATCCAGATTCAATTTGGGCAAATTATATGGCTCTAGAAATTTGTCGATGTCTTCCATATTTTCTATTTTATTGGAGTACAAGTTTTCAAAATAATTTTAAATTATCTTCTATATTTCTGTAGTGTCTGTTTTGATAGTTCCTTTTTCATCATGTATATTAGTGATTTGAGTTTTCTCTCTCCTCTTCATTAGCATGGCTAAGGGTCTGTCAATTTTATTTATTTTTTCAAAGAACCAACTTTTTGTTCAGTCAATTTTTTCAATTGTTTCTTTTGTTTCAATTTCATCTCTGATTTAAATTATTTCCTGTCTTCTGCTGAATTTGGTGTTGATTTGTTCTTTTTTTCTATTTAGTGTTAAGTCATTTATTTGTTGACTTTTTCTTCTTTTAAGGTATGAACTCCATGCAATGAACTTACCTCCTTGAACTGCTTTCATAGTGTCCCAGAGATTTCGATTGTTGTATCTGTGTTCTCATTCACTTCTAAAAATTTTCTAATCTCCTCCTTACTGTCTTCTCTAACCCATTGTTCATTCAGTAGCATATTATTTAGTCTCCAGGTGTTGGAGTAGATTTTATTTTTTTATTCTACCATTGATTTTTAGTTTCATTCCATTATGATCAGACAGAATGCAGGGTAGAATCTCTACTTTTTTATATTTGCTAAGAGTTGGATGGAGTTAGAGAAGATAATGCTAAGTGAAGTTAGCTAATCCCCCCCAGAAAACAAATGCTGAATGTTTTCTTTGATATAATGAGGCTGATTCATAGTGGGATAGGGAGGGGAGTATGGGAGGAATAGACGAATTCTAGATAGGGCAGAGGGGTTGGAACAGAAGGGAGGGAGCATGGGATTTTTAATGGTGAAATGTGATGTTCATTATTATCCAGAATACAGGTATGAAGACACGAATTGGTGTGAATAAATTGTGTAAACAATGAAAAATTTTGCTCTGTATGTGTAATAAGAATTGTAATGCATTCTGCTGTCAGATATAAATAAATAAAGAAACTTTTAAAAAAATAAATAAAATAAAGGTATTGTGTCCATCTACAACTGAAAAAAATTTTGAAAAATTTCTACATTTCTGTAGCAGCTCTTTTAAAACTTTTTTTTCCCAGGAAACAAAGGGAAATATTCTTAAAAATATTGTAAACACTTAAAAAACACTTGATGTGAAAAATGCTGATTTTTTTTAGTTTAATTGTGAAGTTGAAATTAGAGGTCATTGATTTTAGTTGTAATCACCTCAGTTTCATCTTTTTTAAGTTATTGTAATAATTCTTGAAGTTTATTGAAAGTGTAATTTGCACTAACAGCATAAAGTAATTTTATTTTTGTTATTCTGACAGATATACTGAAAGAAGTAATATAAGCTGTTTTAAATGTGTAAACTAAAGATATGTTTTGTTTGGTTGCAGCTGCTGCTCCTCTTCCTCCCTCACCTCCCCCCATATTGAGAAAATATTTTCATATCCAAAATGTGAGGGAGGCTGGGTACATAGCTCAGTTGGTAGAGTGCCTGCTTTGCGCGCACAAGGCCCTGGATTCAATCCCCAGCACCACACACCCACGCACATACACAAAAAGGAAACAATGTGAGGGGAAACCTTATTGGTGGACTGGGGTTATAGCTCAGTGGTAGAGCTCTTGCCTGGCATATGTGAGGCACTGGGTTCGATTTTCAGCACTGCATGTTAACTAAGTAAAATAAAGCTCCATTGACTACTTAAAAAATATTTGAAAAGAAAAGAAAACCTTGTTGGTAATGTAAACCAGAGTCACAACTTTTCTTTATAAAAGGGCCAAATACTAAATATTTTTGACTTTGTGAACCACACAGTGTGTTGTACTTTTTCACCCCTACTTTGCAGCATTAAAACAACTATAAACAATATATAAATAAATGAGCATGACTATGTTTCCATAAAAGTTTATTCATAGAAAAGAATAGCAGGCTAGTTTCACCCTCAAGCTGTATATAGTTTGCCAACCCCTCATTTAAATGATTACTTGGTTATCGTATATAGTTTATAGTACCAATATGTAAACATCCTTAAAGAGTTTTTTGCTCATAAAATTTCATTAGGATGTATACAGAATTTCCATTAAAGCATAAAATGAATTTGGAATTTATTTATATATTTCTCCCCCTCTATAGGTTGCAAGATAGTCTTGAATTCATCAATCAAGACAACAATACATTAAAAGCTGATAATAACACAGTTATTAATGGACTACTTGGAAATATAGGTAAATGGTTTATTTGATTTTATAAGTTTAAAAAATGTTAACAGTGTAACATGGGTTTGAACCTATTTCTTAATCATGTAAACCTATTATAAAACTAAAAAATTTCAAATACCATACACGGAAAATGCTTTTAAATTGCACATATTACATAACATTTGTAATATTTGGAAAACATTTTTATTATGTTAGGATATAATATTTATTTTGTCAACTGCTGAAGATATAATTTGTCCTCACTGTTTTTTTGTTTTTAAATTCGGCTTTCATTGATACAGAAAGCCCATATAAGTGTTCCTGAATATTCCACAGCCAGGAAAGACTGATATTGTCCCTTAACTCTTCTCTCATTCCTAACCACAAGTCATTTTAAAATGGTTCTCATTTTTGTGATCTGTAATTCACATGAGCAGACATCCAAATTTATTTTTTTTTAAAGATTTATTAGGCTTAACAACTTATTTAGTAATGTGATTAGCTAATTGTTGTTATTATGTAAGCTCAACATTTTAAAATGACAAGCTATTTCTGAAATTTCTGGTCGTTTCTCCTAGAAAGTACAACTAAACTGCTGCTTATTACTATTTTCCTTGCATGAAGAACTATAATAGCTCAGGGAGTGGGTGTCAATTAAGCTAGTATGAATATTTCTCTCTTATTTAGTAAGAACTTTTGTTTATAATTAGTTTTAATAAACATTTAGTAGTTATATGTATTAGTAGAAAACACATTTTTCTTCCAACTTGAGCATTGTTAACGTTCTGCTCAGTAAATATTATTTTTATAAGTCATGTTTTTTTTCAAATGAGCAACTATATTAAGCATCTAGTTTTTCTTAATTTATTTTAATAAAGTAGAACTGTAGCAAAGAAATAACATGTCTTTTTTCTTTATAATTTTGACACTATTAAAAGCTCAAGGGGCTTATTAAAAGCTACTCTGTTTAATAGTACTAATCTATTGTCACTTAGAAAATTACACTATTGAGATTACATATACTCATTCTTTCTTTTCTAATGTAGAACAGAAAATCCACTTAACAAAGAACAGGTTTTAAATAATGAATGGCTTATACTTGCACATTCTTAATTGGAACTCAAGGAAAGTTGGTCCTTGTGCTATTGTTTATTTTCTTTAAATTTCTAATCAGTCAGTCAATCAGGTGCTTGTTGAGCATCCATAATAAGTGAAGCACTTTGCTAGGCCATAGGGGAATTAGTTTCTGCCTCAATGAACTTACAGTTAGTGGGGGTCAGAAAAGTAATACAATAATTGTAATATTCTGTAGTGAATTCTTAGACAAGACAAAGAGCAGAATGTAATGAACATTTTGAGAAGTACCTCACTCAATCCTGGAGAGTCATGGAGGTCTTCCTTGAGGACATGAGACCTAAGCTCACATTTAGCCAGACAGCCGGGGAAAGATATTTTCTAGGAAGAACGCAATGTGTATCTAAACCTAGGGAAGAGATCATAGAGTATGCAAAAAATGTGACTGTCAGTAAGACCCCTTTCTGTTCTTGTGCTAAATGCAGTAAGATATTATTCTTTTCATAGTTGCAGGTGAATACTGTAATCATAAAACTGACTTTTTAAATAAATTTTATTTGGCAAATGTAGATAACATTTTTGTCCTTTTTTGAATCTTTACAAACTGTTTTACATTAGAAAGCAGAAACATATTTCTGTTATTATGTATGGGCTTATTAGGAAATAGGCAAGAAATTGTTTACATAAACTATGACTCAGAGGAAGACCATCCTTTTTCCAAAAAGGGAAGACAACTTGAATTCTATTTAAGTTAAAAGTTTCCATCCATATCTGTTAGTCTGCTTTTGTGCTACCTTACCTTACCTTTTTCCCATGACGCATTGTGGCTTCTCTAACAGCCCTCTTTCATGTGTATTTTACATTTTTGCCGTGTAGGTCTTTCACAGTTCTGCAGCCCCAGGCGGACATTCTCTGAGCAGGGTCCGCTCCGCCTGATCAGGAGCGCCTCTTTCTTTGCAGGTTTGCCATGTGCTGTGTGGGTAGACTAGTTGTTGTGCCCTAGAGGCTAGAATCTGTAGTTAAGCTGTGGAAACAAGAGGGTAGGTGAATGCAATTGGGAAGGTTGTGGTTAAGAAACCATTACTTATGAACTATAAGAGCTTAACTACTTTCTACTGAATATGTTCCTAAAGGTTCCACAAAATAATCAGTACAATTATATTTGTATGAAATTTCAGTTTGTTATTTCTTTTCCCATTATGTCATACTGGTTTTAACTTAAGAATCCTAAACAAAATTGAGTATGAACATTATTTCTTTTACTGCGACTTAGAATTTTAAATTTGACACTGTCTTGTTTCCATGGCTAAGTAGCTTTTGTATGGTAGTTCACCAATTGCAGAAAAGTATCCTCTGATTATTATTGTAAAATTTCTGACCTATATTTTTCCATAAAAGCAATTTTTCTTGGAGCTAAGATTTAGATGAACAAGCACCATTTTAATGCTCTGTAAAAGGAATATCTGAGTATAGTCATTTGTATCATTAAATTGATCATTATATGTGTGTGGTCATGATTTTATATTTATAGGAATCTAGTCCTATTCTATATTTTCACACATTTCACACACAGTGACCTGGCATTGTAACCTTCTGGTAGAAATTATTAGAATGGAGCACATTTATTGGTTATTGTTCTCAGATTGGTATTCATTTAGCCCTTCTTTTTAAATTACTATTTCTTTTTTTCTTTTGTGGGGGGGGGGGGGGGGGGAGGTTCCGGGGGTTGAACTCAGGGACACTCGACCACTAAGCCACATCCCTAGCCCTATTTTGTATTTTATTAGAGACAGGGTCTCACTGAGTTGTTTAGCAACTCGCTAAATTGCTGAGGCTAGCTTTGAACTCACAGTCCTCCTGCCTCAGCCTTCTGAGCTGCTGGGATTACAGGAGTGTGCCACCGCACCAAGCTTAAATTAACTGTTTCTTTTTCCTGTAAATATTAGATATGAACAGTACATCTTTATCATAGAAAATTTTAAAAATATGAAAAATAGGCCAAAAAATGTGCATTAACCATCTTGTCAGTTAAACAACCACTTTTTTGTGTTTATGGTGCTAGCAGTTGAACCCTGGAATTTACCCGTGTAAGCGGGCACTCTACCACTGAGCTGCAGCCCTAGACCCCCACCTTTTATAAACAAAATTGGTATACATTCAAACAAATTCCTCAAACTTTTTTATTATAAAATTTTTATTTTTGTTATGTGTCTATTTAAACGTTGATATAGTCAGAATTAGTGAAGTATACCATGAGATACCAATCACAGAGACACAGCAATCAGCATTCATACTGTCCTGTACTTTCCTTTTTTTTCATATAGTAGTATATTGTAATATCTCTCTGTTACTGAATATGCTTCTAGAATATTGATTTTAGTTACCCCTAACTTCTTTAGATATTATTATATCATAGATTATTCAGTGTCAAATCTTACAGATCTCAAAGCTTGTTCAACTGAGTAATGGCTCTTGGTGTTGGGTTGGTGCCATGCTACTGAAAAAAATAAAGGAATGCAATGAGATGAGCATGATTTAGTTTGCTGTTTAAAAGGAGCAACATCCACCTGAGTAAGAATATATTCTATAACTGACAATTTTGTCTTGATTTGCAGTTCATAGTAACCCAATGGACATGCCTGGAAGAGAGCTAAATGAGGACAGAGACAGTGGCATAGCACGCTCTGGTAATGTCAGGTTCTTGTACTAATTTCATTTTTTATGAGATTGCTGTTAGCTGGCATTGATTTTTTTTTAATCCCTGTTTTTATCATCTAATTCTGTGTGTACAGTTGTTCATATTGATACTTGACATACAAGAGGATTGTGGCAAGAGCAAAGAGATACCTCTAAAATTCAACCTTTTTCATGTTTATGGTTAAGTGTGCCTGGTAGAAAATGGCTTAGCTACTACAAGAAAGAAAAATACTGCTCAGGAGAATACTTAGAAACCATAATAGAAAATAAAACAAACAAACAAACAAAAAAAAAACCCAAAAACTACACAGTAGTTTATATCTGCTTGCTGCTAACTAGAGTTTAAATTTTTAGATTGTCTTTTGCCCAGAAAAGCTTAGGCATTAAGAACCAGTGTTATACATACATTTTTCTTTAAAGTATGAAACTTTTCCAAAATCTGTATTGTCTAGCAGACATTTAGTAAAATATGCTGGATATTGGGAGGTAGCAGGAGGCAAAGCCCAGATTCTGCTCTTAAGGAGCATAGAAGTGCAGAGTCTACTGGAAGAACAGGAAAATCTTCTGTCATTAATTCATTGTATGGTGTGTTAAGTGATAGACCTGTGCAAAGAAGTTCAATGAATGGATACTTCTGTTAGCCTGGTTAAGGGGCAGGATGCCAGCAGTGCTTTTCAGAGATATAATGCTTGAGTTATATCTTGAGAAATAAATAGCCAGGCAAAAGGCATAGAAAAAGGTATTTTAGGTAAAATAACTTATCATCTGGCGTGTACCTTTTTATAGAAGACGTTAATACTTCCATGTTTTATGTTTGATTACAATTTTCATTATGTGATTATAATAAAGATGGAAATCTAAAATATTGCCAAACAAAATAAGCCCTTATTGGCATACCTTAGATCTACTTGGGAGAAGGAGAAGATCTCTAGTCCAAGGAAAAGTAGAGGATTATAGCTCTCAATTTCTCAGGCAAGAAACTGGTCTTAGAAATTTCAGAGAAGGGGTTTGGGAAAGGAATTAGCCCTACAGTTGAGATTACAACAGTTATAACTAGAGTAGGGTCTACTGGAATGTGTTGTCATCTTAAAATGCTCCAAAGACTAATCTGTAGGGTCAGCTGGTTTTTGTAGCATAGTAGGTATAATCATGACTCTTACTCAAACCTATCCATTCAAAAGTGATACATGAGTGCTCTTAAATTACCTCTATAAATGCCAGGCACTTAACTTTCAAAATAAAGCTTTTGTTCTTGAAAACCATCTGTTGCATTGTTTGAAACAACATCAGATTTCCTTTAAGTACTTAAAAGGTTCAGCAAAGTTAGGGGACAGGTGGCATTTTCTTCTGTAGGGGGTGGGGCAGGGATGCCAAAAGGGGATTGTCTTAGACTCGTTCTAGTACATACAAAATTTGTCACCATGAATGATATATTTTCAGTGGAAAGTTTAGAGGAGAGGCTATTAAGGCAAAATGAAAAATTGAATCATTCTGCTCTTAAATTTGTTAAAAAGAAATTTGACATTATGTTTAGTTATTCTTGACTTATACTTTGTACTTGTTCTTCTGGCTTAACAGCATCTCTCAGCAGCTTGCTTATCACCCCATTTCCCTCCCCAAACTCCTCACTTACCCGAAGTTGTGCCAGCAGCTACCAGAGACGTTGGCGACGCAGCCAAACAACAAGTTTGGAAAATGGGGTATTTCCTAGATGGTAAGTTGAAATTTGAACAAGACTGAATAATATTTAAAGGGTTTTTGAAACCTGGACTTGTATTTTATATATTTTAAGTCTGGAACTAAAAACTTTTAAAATTATATCTTTTTTTTATTGTGGTAAGTTATGAAAACAATATTCTGTTTTAATGATTTTAGATGTACAATTCAGTGGCATTAAGTACATTTACACCATCATCACTATCTAATTCTTGAACTTTTCCATCTTTTCAAATTGAAACTCAATAACTCCTCAATCCTCCCTCCTCTGCCCCTTGCACGCACTCTTCTATTTTCTGTCCACATGGATTTGGCTGCTTTTTGTACCTAATATAAGTACAATCATATGGTACCTGTCCTTTTATGTCTGATTTATTTTACTTAGTAAAAATATCTTCAGGGTTGATCCATGTTGTGTCATATATCAGAAACTTATTCATTTTTATGGCTAACTAACATTTAATGGAAGTACATTTTGTTTATCTATTATCTGTCAATGGACACTTAGGTTGCTTTGGCCTGTTGTCAGTAGTGCAGCTCTGAATATGATATACAAAAATATCTGTTTGAGTCTTTGTCTTCAGTTCTTTGGGTATATACTCAGAATTGGAATTGCTGGGTCAAATGGTAATTCTATTTTTAACTTTTGAATAACTGCCACACTGTTTATTACTGTGGCTTCACTATTTTACATCTCTACCAGCAATATAGACAGGTTCTAATTTTTCCATGTTCTCACCTGACACATTTCTGTTTTGTTTTTGTTTTTGGAGTTTGGTAATCAGACCAAGGTCTTTGCACATGCTAGCCAGGTGCTCTACCATTAAGCTACACTCCAGCCTCTTCTCCCTTTTTTTTTTTTTTTAATAGACTTGCTAATAATGGATGCAAAGTGGTTTTTCATTGTAATTTTGATTTGCATTTCCCTATTGATTAGTGATATTGAGCATCTTTTCAAGTGCCTGTGGGCCATTTGTATATCTTCTTTGGAGAAGTGTCTCTTAAACTCCTTTGTCATTTTAAAATCAGATTTGTTTGTTTTGTCATTGAGTTGTAAGAGTTCTTTATATGTTTTGGATATTAATCCCTTGATAAATATATGATTTCCAAGAGTGGAGAATTTATATTTTTATTATATTTATGTTACATTTCATCAATATTTCATTCTGCTAATAATATCCTTTTATGCACAAGTTTTAGTATTTATGTAGTTCAGTTTAGCAATTTTTTTCTTTTGTTGCCCATGCTTTTTGTGTTACATCCAAGAAACTATTGCCAAATCCAGTGTCAAGAAATTTTATCCTTTGTGTTTTTTTCTGAGAGTTTTATGTTTAGCTCTTTGATTCATGTACTGTATGTTTTGATATTTCAGTTTTTCATATTTCTATTTTGGCAAGTTATTCATTCTCTAAAGATCTTTTTTTGATCTATGTTAAGTACAGCTACAGATAATGAAACTTCTTGCTTCCTCATTTACTCACTCTCTTTATTCTGTCTTCTTTGATTTTGCTTCTGAAATTGAAAGGAGCACCAGTAGATCCTAGAACAGCAAATAGTTTATACCTGACTCTCATAAATTCCTTAAAATTCAGATATTTTGCTTAATTATGAATTGGATCATGTACTTCTTTAGGGACATCTAATTGGACAAAAATATTTCCAGCCTGAAACTATAGTAAAACTTCTTATCAAAACTTAAGCATGAAAGGATAGCCAATGTATTTCTCAAGAGACATAAAATTTATATGAAATTTTAGATTTATTTGATAAAAAATTCAGAAGATCTTTAATTTGCCTGCATTTAATTATCAAGAAGATTGAGTTGCAAATTTAATTACTTTTTTAAATTAAAAAATTTATTTTTAAGGTCTATAGAAGAAAGCTTTAATCTGTCAGATGAAAGCTGTGGCCCTAACCCAGGAATTGTGAGGAAAAAGAAGATTGCAATTGGGGTAATCTTTTTGTTATCCAAAGATGAAGATGAAAATAACAAATTTAATGAATTCTTTTTTTCACATTTTCCTCTCTTTGAAAGCCACATGAACAAATTAAAGAGTGCAATAGAACAGGTAAGTAGTTCTTTATATCTGACAAAATATTTATTTTTATCATTTATTATTCTGATTAATCATTTGGCAAAAAAATTAAAAGCCACTTTGCAGATGCCTTACAAAATACTCTTGAAGATGGAAATAAGATACAACCTTTTTGAAGAAGCTTACTGTCTAATAGAAGGTCTATTCTATTATTCCTTTAGAAACTAAATTTTTGAGGACCTATAATGTAGCAGAACTATTCTAGTAACTGAAGAAAACTTGTAAAGAAAGCACCACTCCTGACCTCATGGGATAGCAAAATAAATGAATATGGTTTTTGTAGATGGTAGTAAGTGCTGTAAAGAAAAGAAGAAAATAAGGCATGTAAGAGAAAGGTACATAAGGCATGTTCTAAGGAAGAATCACCAACTCTTATAGGCAAGTCAAGAAGTCCACTCATAAAATGAAATAATAGATATGGGGACTATGAAATAGGAGATATGGGGAGTATGAACTAGAGTGGTCAGGGAGAATATGTTTGAAGCAGGAGCAAAGACCCTTTGGCAGGAGTGATTGTGATGCTTAACCAGCATTAAGGATGCCAAAGTGGGTTAAAATAGGACCAGATCATGTAGGGCTTTATAGGATTCCACTGAAAGAGTATTGGCATTTACTAAAAAGGATGGGAGAACACTGGAGTAGAGAAATGACATTATTTACAAGATCATTCTTACTGCTGGTGGAGAACAGGTTTCTAGGAACAAAGGTGGATGTTGTGGGAGTAGTTAGGAGGCCATTGCAACAATCTGAGTGAGAGATGATGAACACTGAAACCAATTTAGTAATGGAATTGGTGAGAAGTGGTTATATTCTGAATGTATTGAAAATAGAGCCGATACGATTAGCTGATGGATGAAATTAAAATGTGAGAGAAAGAGCAGTATACCACTTATGGTAATTTTGAAATACTATTTGAATTGAAAAGTTGGGATTTAATAGGTTAAAGGTTACTTTTTTAGTGTTTTCATGTTTTAGTGCTTTGACCATTCTATAACCTGAAGTGTACACTGTTAATACTTATAGTTGTCTGAATATTTCTTCATGTTTAATATCTCACTTTTTAAATTAAGGGTAAAAGATAAAACTAAGTGTATTTGTATAAATGAATGGGACTTTAAAAGTTCTATAGTAGTTTAGTGATAGGATTTAGTGAACTATAAATCATCCAAAAATGTTATCTTCTAGGTTCAGTTTTCAAATTATGCACTTTTTTAAAAAAATTAAAAGCTGTGAATTATCTGAGTTCTTAAGCAGTACCTCTTTTTGAGATCTGTAATGTAATTTTTAAATGTGATATGATTGCCTGGTACTGTGGCATATGCCTATAATCCCAGTAGCTTGGGAGGCTAAAGAGGGGGGATCGCAAGTTCAAAGCCAGCCTCAGCAAAAAGCAGGGTGCTAAGCAACTCAGTGAGACCCTCTGCCTAAAAAAAAAAAAAAAATACAAAATAGGGCTGGGAATGTGGCTCAGTGAGTGAGTGCCACTGAGTTCAATCCCCAATATCCAAAGGGAAAAAAAAAAAATGATAAGATTAAAGACGACGACTTAATTCTAGTACAAGAATATTTACTTCTTTATAAATTGTGAGTTTCTTAACTGTCTGAAGAAACAAACTTACTTTCATCCTATGAAACTTGATCTCTGGCCTGAAGTCATTTAACCTTCTAAATTTAAAAAAAATGAAGTAAATTTGTAATTACATAAATAATGCAGAATTAAATTCTCTTTGAAAAAGTAAAAACTTGCGAAGTTTTTTTTTAACTCCGTATCCTAATCTGCATCTCAAGCTTTCCAACTTAAGCTGATTGTGTCTTTTAAGATAGCAAATATTTCTAATAACTTTAGATATATTTCAGGAGAAATTTTACATTTCTGATATTTAAAAAAGCATTAACAGAAGCTGTGAAATGCAAGAATTAAATCTTGAGCTACTATTAATCAGTTATCATTAAGTCTTATTTTGTTTAGGAAAAAACATTGTTCTTCTGTAACCCAGAGATTGTGGACATCAGTTTTCTTTGTGTGTTGATATTCTGCAGTTTGATAATTAAAATAAGAGATCTAGGGAGCTGGGGTTGTGGCTCAGTGGTAGAGTGCTTGCCTAGCATTCATGAGGCACTGGGTTTGATCCTCAACACCACCTAGAAATAAAAAATAAAGATATTATGTCCACCTAAAACTAAAAGATAATTATTAAAAATATTTTAAGAGTTCTAACAGTTGAAAATTTTTAATTTTGACATAATAATTAATAACTAAAGGTACAAAAGAAAAAGCTATTATAAATGGGTTTATCTTTTTTATTTCTTTCTAGGTTGAAATGTTGGTACAGTGTTGTATAAATACATGACTTTTTCTGTCTTTTTTTTCCATGTTTTGACCACGATTGACATAAGATCTAACTATGTAATGATTGTTTTCAAGGCTATGAAAATGAGCCGGAGATCAGCTGATGCCAGTCAGAGAAGTTTGGCATATAATCGGATAGTTGATGCCCTGAATGAATTCAGGTATATATTTCCCAGTTTTAATAATACAGAACTGTTTCATAGTATACCCAAGAAGATATTTCTTTTCCTAATTTGTTCTAATAGAATTTAGTTTTTAAAATGTTTTTTTATCCCATAGTTAAAGGAGGGTGGTTGGGATCAAAGCACGTTTTGTAGTCTTCAGTGGTACAGTTTTTAGTACTGGACTATTTGACAAAGTATGTATGACCGGAAAATGCATTGTTTTAAGCAAAGTATGCTTTGTTCTGTAACTAGTGATAGTAATCAAATGTTCTTTGATATAAATTTTCCATGAATACAAGTATATATGGATATAAGCAGAATGAATTTTATGTTCTGTTGCTTGGTCTTTTCTCTAGATATGGCACAGTGACTAGGATTTCTTCTGGTGTATTTTCTGGCTCAGTTAAATTGTACCTGAAGCTCCAACATGGGGCTGCATATATGTGGCAAGCAAAAATATTACAAATGAGCTTTAAGTTCAGAATCACAATAAATGATTGTATGTCTCAACATGAAGAAATTAATTTTAAGTCTACTTCATCATCTCAGTCTTATTTTCTTTAGACTGGAGAGAGAGAGTATAGTACAGAGAGTAAGAGCTTAGGCTTTAGAATTGACTGACTTGTGTTCTCACACTGGCTCTGCCATTTACTACCTTCAGTGACCTGGGGCAACTCCACTAACATGTTCAACTCCTATTTAAAAAAAAAGAAAAGTTTAAAATAGGCAAATTCAATTAATGGTCTAGTAGATTGTTTTAAATATTAAACAACATGCATTTTACTGACACCACTGAGAAAGGCATTAGTGGCACCACTTTTTTCTCTGGTAAACATAACCTACAGCATTGCTTCCCTAACTATAATTATTCACATCATACTTTCATAATTTTCCCAAGTCTATTTATCATCTATCATTTTAATTTAATGTTTCTCTTTAAGTTGTCCCTCTTTTATACCTAGGTAAATTTATTTTAAATGAAACTTTATTACTCTAAATGGATAATCAATATCCTTTGCCATAAGCTAACTATAAAATGAACTACTAAAGTAAATTCAAGCCAGGCATGGTGGCACACACCTGTAATTAATTCCAGCAGCCCAAGAGGCTGAGGCAGGAGGATCACAAGTTCCAAAGCAGTCCTCAGCAATAGTGAGGCGCTAAGCAACTCAGTGAGACCCTGTCTCTAAATAAAATACAAAATAGGGCTGGAGTTGTCTAGTGCCTCTGAATTCAATCCCTAATACCAAAAAAAAAAAAAAAAGTAAATTCATAATAACTAAAATTGAAAATGTGTTCCATACCACAGAGGGTTTGTAATCCATTTACCTCATTTTCAAAGAAACTGATCACATATTTTTGTTGTTGTTGACAATTGTGGAGTCCCTTATTGGGGCAGGGACTTTCTGGATTGTTAAGTGGCCTATCACATATTAAAATAAGAGGCTGTTTTTACTTGTGACACTGCTGTATTGCTGTGTTGAAAGTATGTAGGCATGCCATATATATAACTCTTTTTTTTCTAAATGGAGGTGAACAAGGAGTGGTGGGTTTAAATGGAAAAAGTTTTCTTTATGGGTATTGTGTAATAATCAATTATTAAACTCCGTTATTGAAGAGAAAATTGTCTAATCATTGTTTAATTCACCATAATTTTGGGGATAAAAGACATTTAAAGTGAGTTTAATAAATCTTGATTTTCTGTATAGTAACTTAAGTGGTCAGGAGAAATGTAGAAAAACACATAGAATTTGATTGCAAGCCCTATTATTTATGTTTGGTTTTGGAAGGAAATAATTTGCATAGACAAAAACTATATTAGAGCACTGGGGTTGTGGCTCAGTGGGTGGAGCACTTGCCTAGCACCTGTGAGGCACTGGGTTCCATCCTTAGCACCACATAAAAATAAATACATAAAATAAAGTTATTTTAAAAATCATATTAGAGATGATATTTCTGCTCTTCTACCACTAAGCTACATCCCTAACCCTTTTACATATATATCAATTTTATTCTAACATCATCATTTTAGGCTTTTTTTTTTCCTGGTATTGAGGATTGAACCCATGGGTGTTTTACCATTGAGCTGTATCCCCAAGCTCTTTTAATCTTTAATTTTGAGACAGGGTCTCACTAAGTTGCTCATTGACATTTTGCTGAGGCTAGTCTTGGCAATTCTTCTGCTCAGCCCAATTTTTATGATTTTATTTAAATTATTTAGTTACTTCATTTGCACTGGAATTATCATGTTTTCAACCATTCTTTTTGCTTATTTGCCTAAAACAATCCTTTTTAGAAATTTTTGAATATTACATTTTGTAATATTACCCAGTATTGAATTTTTGCCCTTGCACTGGGAGCTCAGTTAAGCATTGTTTTAAAAAAAAAAAAAATTAATTTTTTATCTTTTGTAGTGCTGAAGATTCAACCTAGGACCTAATGTGTGAGAGGCAAGCGCTCTACCGCTGAGCTACAATCCTAGTCCTTTCCCCCTTTTTTAAATTTAAATTTAAATTAATTTATTTTAGCATTCTTAACTATATTTTAAAAAAATACCTTATAAGCTCTTTGATTTTTAATAAAAGGCTTACCTATAAGTTCTTTAATTTTATATAGGCAGTCCTCATTATTTGTGGACTTTGTATTCAAGAATTTACTATGCAGTAACATTTATTTATTATCCCCAAAGTGTACTAGAAGTGGTTTTGAGGTAATCTGTGGATATACACAGAGAAGTAACGGATTTTGAGACACCTAATAAACATTTTCCTGGATCAGGTTAAATAGGTGATTCTCCACCTTCTATTTCAATATTTTTACTGTAAACAAATGTCCCTTTTGATATTTACTTAGCACCATGTTTCTTGTTTTTCATTCTTTGTGCTTTTTAAAAAAAATTTTTTTTAGCTGTAGATGGACACAATATCTTTATTTTTATTTATTTATCTTTTTTATATGGTGCTGAGGGTCGAACCCAGGGTGTCAAGCATGGGAGGCAAGCGCTCTACCACTGAGCTACAACCCCAGACTATTTTTATGCTTTTTGATAGTGATTTTAAGGTTAAAAGCATAATGCTGAAATGCTATCTAACATTGCTAAGCATAGGAATGGTGTGACGTACCTTAAGAGAAAAAAAATTTGTGTGTTAGGTAAGCTTCATTCAGGTATGAGTTAAGTGCTGTAGGCCATGAGCTCATCAACCAACAGCATATTATTAAATTTATTTTTCAGTTTTTGGTGGACACAACATCTTTATTTTATTTTTATGTGATGCTGAGGATCGAACCCAGTGCCCTGCGCATGCCATGCGAGCGCGTTACCGCTTGAGCCTCATCCCCAGCCCAGTATATATTAATATAAAATAAAGTATCTTTAAATGGAGATATGCATAAAAACAAGATTTTAACTAGGCATGCCTGTAATCCCAGTGACTTGGGAGGCTGAGGTAGGAGGATTGCAAGTTCAAAGCCAGCTTCAGCAACTTAGCAAGGCCCTAAGCAACTTGGTGAGACTCAAAATAAAAAATAAAAAGGGCTAGAGATGTAGCTCAGTGTTAAGAGCTCCTGGGTTCAATCCCTAGTAACCCCCCCTAAAAAAAAATCCAAATGTTTTGTATTGATGGATTAATGAGATTATCTCACCACAGGAACCCAGCTAATCCTGTATTTTAACTAGGAGTATTGGTTCAATGTTAGTTTATTCAGTATTACATGGATTTTACAAAAAAGGTATTTCATTTTTTTAACCACAAAAGGTTTTTCAAACAACAAGGTTGGACCATACTATTTAAATAAAGTGATTATTAAATATGAACAATTACATAATTTGAGACCAGATGCTCAATACGTTTTAGATAGTTGCAAACAGGAAGGAAATGATTCAGATAAATACAACAACCCTGAAACTTAGAGCAACAGGAAGCATATTTAGTTAATACTGTTGCCTGAAAAAAATTAACATTTTTACTTAGACTTTATGCATATCAAAGAAGACTAAATCATGTCTATAATTACTTTCTAAATAAAAGTCTTTTATTCTCTGGGCACTGAATGGGAAAAACAAGAGGACAGTTGCCTTAAAGTATTTGCCTTTCTTATCGTTGAGGTATAGGGCTCAAAAATTAGGATGGAAGAAACATTTAGAAGAAATTATTACTTATACATCATTAATGATAACATAGTGTTGTATATAGTAAGAAATAATATTGTGTAATTAATTTATTTGCATTCTTGGCACTTATTTTACTTAGGGTCACAGCATACATTTAACCCGTAAAGCACCAAAACAAAGATCTTCAGTAGACTGTTATTCCAATGTTAGTGGACTGACTCTGGCTGTAGACTTAGAGTAGATAGCACTATACTAAAGAAACTTACGGAAATTTCTTAAGTGATAATTTTCTTAAATAAATTTCTTAAGTTTATTTATACAGCTTTTTTTTTTAAATCAAAAAGTACATGCACATAGTTAAGAAACAAAAAAACCTATAAAATTTGAAAGTTCTAATAATGATAAATAAACTGTATTCTACCTTTGACATTCTCCCATTCTTACTTCCCAGAAACATTCTCTTTATTTGTGCTTACATTTTAATTTCACTTTGTTTAATTGATTAATGAATCACATAAAATTACCTATATTTATAGGGTACCATGTGATCTTTTGATACATGTATACATTGTGTAATGTCTTAAATCAGTATAAACATAGTATTTTCTTAAACATTTATCATTTCTTTATGAGGAAAATATTCAACATCTTTTCTTATATTTAAATATATATGTACACAGACTTGGGTGTAGTGGTACATGCCTGTAGTCACAGCTGTTTGGGAGGCTGAGACAGTAGGATTGTTATGAGTCCAGGAGGTCAAGGTCAGCATAGGCAACATAGTGAAACTCCTCAAAATTTTAAAAATATACAGTACTTTATCAATAGTCACTCTACTCTGCAATAGCACACAATAACAGAACTTATTCTTCCTATCTAACTGCAATTTAGTACCCATTTATCAACCTTTTCCATCCTCCTCACCCCTACTTTCCCCAGCTTCTAGTAATCACTCTTCTACTCTGAACGTATGTGAAATCATTGTTTATAAAATTCACATGTAATTGAGATCATGTACGTGGTTCTTGTCATTCTGTGCCTGGCTTATTTCACTTAACATAATGATCTCCAGTTTTGTCCATGTTGTTGCAGATGTCAGGATTTCATCCTTTTTATGTCTGAATAGTATTCCTTTTTGTGTATGTAGCAGAAATATTCTCTTTTAACTCTCAGTTATTCTATTATCTATCTCTGTATTATTAAATAGTATATTTTATGATATTTCTTGATTTATCAATTTTAGATCATTTTATTTTCTGCCATAATACATGGATTCATATTACCCCTTAGTCCTTTATCTTCTTGTAAGTTAAGCGCTATTCTTCCACTTTGGTAAGTTTTCTGGGTTGTTATTTTTTTTTTTAAATCACTTATTTTCTTCTAATTTTTCTGTCTGAACTTTTTTGGATTGCTCTTTTATTCCTCTTTAATATTTTTCTACTCATTTTCTGAATGTATTATTTTTATATTTGTTTTTCTGTTCCTTTTATGGTTTTTAATTAAACTTTAGTGCTTATTTTTAATTAAACTTTGTGCTTATTTTCAGGTAATCTTTTTCTGTGGAAAAAGATTTTTTTTTCATTATTTCTGTTTCCTCCAGAGTCATTTTATATGTGAGAGTATATATGCATGCTTGCTTTCTTTTTTTGCCTCTGTTTCCTTGCAAGCTTTCTTTAAATATCAGTGTTGTTTGATTGTTCGGTCATATTTTGTGAGTGGGATACTAGACAGTATTTGGGAGTTCTGTGTAAAATAGACTTTGGAGTGGAGACCTTCACTTTAGGAGATTGTTTCTTAAACTCCATGAAGGAACATATTTTTTTCCTAATCTTTCCCTGTCCCAGAATGAAATTTTGGTACTAAAAAATACACATTCTATTGGCTGGGGTTGTGGCTTAGTAGTAGAGCACTCGCCTAGCACATGTGAGGCACTGGGTTCAATTCTCAGTACCACATAATAAATAAATAAATAAATAAATAAAGGCATCATTGTTATCTACAATTTAAAAAATTATTTAAAAATGCTCTATTTCTGTTTATACTCATAAACATTCAAATATCAGGAAGTTTTTCAGAGAGATCATTCCACTGGACTATTGCTATATTTGCTTCCCTATCTGTAGTCATTCTGTAGGTAAATGAAATGGAGGTACAGGTCACCAACCATTTACACACTTTGAATTAAACTCTTCATTTTCAGTTAATCTGTCTTAACTCTTGGCCTCTCCTTCACCTGCATTTGTGAGTCCTGATCCCCTTTTTGTCTTAGTGGGAAAAAATAAGCTACTCCTTGCCCATTCTCCTTCTGTGAGACTGTAATCTATAGCTCCCTCCACTTTGCTACTTTATTCACCATTCCAATGTGTTTTTTTATTTTTAATTTTCTCTAATGAAAATTTTCTTTTAATGTTATTTGCTGTAGTGGTTTATCTGCTTTTAAATCCTTAATTAGTGTTCATTTGGAGCCTTGGAACTGAAAGAGCATAATTATTTGCAGTTTTCTCTCCTATTTGATTAAGATAAGCATTTTATATATTCCTAGTTTGTATTCTATTCATTTTTCTCTATGAAATACCTCAAATTCTTATTTTATAAAAATCCTATTTAATCTTATTTAAAGTACCTTTAGGCTAAGCACAGTGGTACATGTATGTAATCCCAGTGGCGCAGGAGGCTGAGGCAGGAGGATTGTGGATTCAAAGCCGGCCTCAGCAACTAAGAGAGGCCCTAAGCAACTTAGCAAGACCCTGTCTCTAAATAAAATATAAAAAGGGGTTGGAAATGTGGTTCAGTGGTTAAGCACCCCTGAGTACCAAATCCTGGTACCCAAAAAAAAAAAAATCCTTTAATTTTTATTTAAGTTCTTAGTGATGATTTTATGCCCTGCCAAGAACTTACTAGTTTATATTTGTTATTTCTGTCCATTGTAATATAATGTTCATATTAGTGAAAGGTTCAATAAAACTTGTATAGGCAAATAGGAATTCGTTCGTTCCTTCTTTCCTTCCTTCCTTTTCTTTTTTTTCTTTTTTTTTTTTTTTTTGATTCTAGGTATTAGAGAACTAATTTGAAAGGGATAATAACAGAATTTTTTTTGGAAGTTTCAAAAATTGCTAGAGCTGTATTGTCCATTATACTCTGAGCCTTTAGCCATATGTGGCTGATTAAATTAAATTAAAAATTCCATTACTTATTCATATGACTGACATTTCTAGTGTTTATAAACTACATGTAGCTGATGTCTACCACTGTAGATTTAGAGCATTCTCATCATTGACAAAAGTTCTGTTAGACAGCATTGTTCTAAAAAGTAGAAGGTAGGATATATTGTTCTGTAGTTTCTCCAAGTCTTACAAGGTTCTTAAGCCTCAAGTTTTGCATAGTTGTGTTTTCTGTTCAGTACATAGGACTTGGTTGAATAAATATTGATATAAAAGGAAAAACACTTGCCTATTTGAATCTGTTTTGAAGTGTTTAGGATATAATACAAGTCACAAGACTAGCTATTGTCTAAATTAATCCAAGAAACAGCTAAGAAAGCACCATATTAATTGTTCAGTAATATTTCTTAATGTTGATTCAGGGGAAAACTACAGAAGGTTGAGAATTATAAAACATAGCATGTATGTATAGAGTCAGTATTCTTCAGACTTATATACTAAAGAGCATCAAAATGTTACAGGTTTGAGTGGGTGGATGGATAAGCTGTTACCCTATCAGAATTTTTTTTTGCAACAAAAAAAAAGAATTTTTTTGCATATGTTATTAATGATTTACAATATGCTTAAGTGCAGCATGAACTTTAGAAATGTAGAGCTTGATGGGGCTTTAAAAATTGTCCAGCCCTGTCTTTTCATCTTACAGGTAGGTAGAAGAAACTGATGTAACATTTAAGTCTAAAATATATTTTCTGTGCTACCATGCTGATGACAAAGAACAAAAGACTTGGTTCATTGACTTTTTTCAAAAGCTTTAATAATCTATGTATAAGTTCTAAGCTGGTAACTTCAAGATTATGCAATTTGGGGAACCATAAAATTTCATAATTCCAATGAATTTCATAATGGGTCTTTCTTTTTAGAACAACAATTTGTAATCTTTACACAATGCCACGAATTGGAGAGCCCGTGTGGCTTACAATGATGTCGGGGACTCCAGAAAAGAACCAGCTTTGTCATCGATTCATGAAGGAGTTCACTTTTTTAATGGAAAATGCTTCCAAAAATCAGTATGACTTGCTTTCTTTGTTTATATATGTATATTTGTTATTTACTATAACTAGATATCTAGAGTGTGAGCAAATTCAGTTTCAGAACTGGGATGATGATTTATTGTTTTCATAATTATTTCATATTATTAGTAATCAAAACAGTACTCTCAAAATAATTAAACAATAGAGTATGGAAGAGTGCTGCAAAACCTAGTGAATGAAGAATAGAAAAAATGTCTTAAATTACATGTTAAAAATCCTGACATCTCACAGAAAACTCTGAGACTTCCTGTTTGTGAATTGTATTCATTTTTTAAAAATACTTTTTTAGTTGTAGTTGGACACAACACCTTTTTATTTTATTTATTTATTTTTATAAATAAATCCTCAGTGGTGCTGAGGATTGAACCCAGCGCCTCCCACATGCTAGGGGGGTGCTCTACCACTGAGCCACAACCCTAGTCCCATGTATCCATTTATGATACCTTCATAGGAGAGGTTTAAAAATACTTATGAAGTGCTAGGATTACAGTGATACATTTTAAATGTGATATTTTATCGTACTGTTTTCTTTGAACTATTCACCAAGTCCTCATAATCCGTATGAGTAATTCAGATGTTTTTATTCTCTTTAATGGTAGACAAAGTTTTCTTAGTACTATCCTTCATTTTTCTCATTCAGTAATTTAGAAATCTAAGGACCTGCTGGTTTGAACTAAGCAGATTAACACTCAAAAGAATCTAGTTTTTCAAGTAAAATGGCATCCTTGTTTTGTAATTATGATCCAAATAACTTATGAATGTTCTCTTTATTTTAAAGATTTTCTTTAATTTGTTTCCCAGGAATAGATTTATTACTTTTTCATGCTGGTGGTGTACCTATCCTTTAGTCTCTTCCCTTCCCTTTTTAATGCTATTTGGCCATGAAAATATGTGCTCTTTTTGCTTATTCTGTCAAAATGTTTTACCTAAGGTTTCATGAAGGTAGATTAGAATCTGATAGGGATGTGTTTTGTTTTTAGATTCTTGCCAGCTCTCATAACTGCAGTTTTGACCAATCATCTTGCCTGGGTGCCAACAGTCATGCCAAATGGACAACCACCTATTAAAATATTTTTAGAAAAACATTCCTCTCAGAGCGTGGACATGTTAGCAAAGACTCATCCATATAATCCACTCTGGGCACAGCTGGGTATGTAACCTGAAACTCTTACACCGTGTATTATACTTAGACTTTTATGTAACTATCTGGAATTACTTTATAAGAAGAAAAAAATAAAATCCTCTCTTTTACTCCCTTAATTCTAAAGCATCTCTTCTGCTTTTGTCCTTATATGTCTGTTAAATTGTCCTATCATGTTAAGCCTGTTATCGTTCCTCAAAGCTAGAGAACCACAGTTAAAGCAAGAGTTGCAGACTGATGGCTGTTTTACTAGTACTTCAGGGTCTTCAGAGTGTTATGCATTTTCACACTTTGTCTAGAAAGAATTAACCAACTAAGTCACCTGAGATAGCTAGAATACATCTAGTTGAGAAGCAGTTCGTTGAGATTCCTATTGTTCCACTTTTTGTTTGGTTACCATTTTGGAAAATGTTCTTTCTTAGTATTAGGCATTACTAAATAAGTGGGGAATATAAGAAGGTGGATGATTGATAAGTTCTGGGCGTGAAAAAACATGCTACACTCCATAAAGTCGGGCGTACCACTGTTGAACCATATTTTTCTTATTAAAAAAATGGAGATAGTACATCTTCAAACAATTATGAAAATTAGATAATACATGTAAAGTACTTCAGACAGTGTCTGGTAAACATAGCTATTACATCTACTCTATTCTGTTTCCATTAGATGGTGAATGGAAGATAAGTTGAGAACATTTGGTGACTTGGTTGAAACTTCCTATAGGTTTCTCTGGTGATTGAGCTTGCCAGGCAGGTTGGCATGTAGCTTATTATCTCATGTTAATCAGCCTCCTTTCCTCCTTCCCTACCTGTTGCTTTATTGAGTTACAGTTTACATAGAATAAATGAATACTTAAAGTATATAATTGATATGTGTCTCTGTGTTAATGTATTCATATACCTCTGACATCATCCCCATAATCAAAATGCTGAAAATATCTATCACTTCCAAAGGATTTCTCATGCCCTCTTGTAATTTCTTCCTCCTGTTCCTTTTCATTGTCCTCCTTCCACCCTTTCCCCCCATTCTTAGGTCTGATTTCTGTTACTATAAATTAGCTCATTTTCTGTTACAATATGTACTTTTTTTGGTCAGACTTATTTCATTCAACATAATTAAGAATCACTTCTATGTTGTATGTATTAATACTTATTTTAATGCTGTGTAATATTTTTATATGGATAGTAATTATTTTTTAAAACAAGTAATTAGCATTTTAAAATTGGGACATTTCAAATTTATTTTCAATTCTGCAGTCATTTTTTTCCATGTTTTTAAATTGGTGCGTTGTAGTTGTACATAATGATGGGATTTGCTATTAGATATTCGTACATGCACAGAAAAATTAAATATTTTTTTTTGGTACTGGGGACTGAACTCACAATTCTGCAAAGAGCTCTGGAGGGTATAAGGACAAGTAATAATTTGGTCTTGTCTTTATACCCTCCAGTGCTCTTTGGACAAGTAATAATTTGGTCTTTGCCTTCAAAAAGTTGATCATATTTAGGGCTGGGGTTGTGGCTCAGGTAGAGTGCTTGCCTAGCATGCTTGAGGTACTGGGTTCCATCCCCAACACCACATTAAAAAACTAAGCAACATAAAAGTATTGTGTCCATCTACAACTAAACATTTTTCAAAAAGGTTGATAATGTTTAAAACTGTAGCTAATATATATCCAGACAAGAATGACAATTCAAAGAGGAAATATAAATGCCCAGTGTGAGTTCAATAAGAGGGGCTTACTTCTTTCAGTGACAATATCTAATTGAGAAGCTCTGGACTATCAGAGAGAGATAGGGAACAGTAAGTACATTGCATGAGTGAAAGGAGTTTTGGTGTTAAAAGTGCAGAGCATATTCAGTGGTCCATTTTAAGTGGGATTTTGGATTCAAAAGATGGAAAGAAAATTAAGAAGTATAACTGGAAAAGTAAAGTGGGACCAGTTGTGAAAGACTCACTTGCTGTGCCAAATTGGTTTGAATTTTTAGTCATTAGTGAGAATTTTGGATTTGGTTTGGAACAATGGCATTGTAATATTTGAGCCAGTATTTTTAGTCAGAGGATAAAACTTACCATAATGCCATGTGGAACATACATTCATTTGAGACCCATTAATGTTTGTTTCTTTAAAAAATATGGAGTTTTTATAAAGTAAAAATAGAGGTTTTTAAATGTGTATACTGACAACTTACAAAAATTGAATTAAATTTATTAAATTTGTGTTCTCCATTTTTAAGTCGTTTTGCACACCGATTCCAGGTTTAATTTTGAGTTATAGCATAAATATAGGAATGTGTGTTGTGACTGTTCCAGCTCTACTCCTTGCCATCACTGCTCCCTTCCTCTTCTTGATCTCCAGCAGATATTGTGCTTTCCATTTTTCTATGTTGGATATAGCTTATAGAATCCTTGTATATGAACTACTTCAGGCAGTACTTCTCCTAGATCCTGGCATAGAGAATATGCCTAATAAATGTGACTCTTTGAAGTTTCAAAATCACAGCAACTCTTTAAGCAAGAAGTTTTTAATTCCTTCATTCACCTTTCTCTTTGGTTATAACCATTTACCCTACTCTCCTGAATACTCAGTCCTCTTTTAAATAACAGTAAATTTTTCTACTACTCATTCAATAAGAGTAGTTTTCTTGGGCTGGGGTTGTGGCTCAGTGGTAGAGCGCTCGCCTAGCGCGTGTGAGGCCCTCGGTTCAATCCTCAGCACTACGTAAAAACAAATAAACAAAAGAGGTATTGTGTACAACTAAAAATAAATATTTAAAAAAGAGTAGTTTTCTCATAATTGAAAATAGCTTCCTTAGCTGTGTGTTGAGGATGTGTCCATTAACATTTTTCTATTACAGGGGACTTGTATGGTTCTATTGGCTCTCCTGTACGGCTTGCAAGGACTGTGGTAGTTGGCAAACGACAAGATATGGTCCAGAGGCTACTTTATTTTCTTACTTACTTTATAAGATGCTCTGAACTTCAAGAAACCCATCTTTTAGAAAATGGAGAAGATGAAGCCATTGTTATGCCAGGCACAGTGATTACTACCACTTTAGAGAAAGGTGAAATAGAAGAATCAGAGTATGTGCTTATCACAATGCATAGAAACAAAAGCAGTTTGCTGTTTAAAGAGTCCGAAGAAACAAGAACTTCTAATTGTAACTGTAAATACTGTAGTCATCCACTCCTTGGGCAAAATTCAGAAAATGTGTCACAACAAGAGAAAGAAGATATTCCAAATAAGGAACTGCTAGGAATTTCAGATGAATGCCGAATAATTTCTCCTTCTGACTGCCAAGAAGAAAATACTGTTGATGTTAAACAGTGTAGAGATAAATTAAGAACTTGCCTTGACACCAAGTTAGAGACTGTTGTTTGCACAGGATCTGCTCCGGTAGACAAATGTGTATTGTCAGAAACAGACTTAGAGCCAACAGAGGAAACATGGCAGAGTAAGGAATTGCTGGATCCAGATAATCACACAGGCAAAGTAATGAGATCCACAGGAATCGTTGTGGAAAAGAAACCTCCAGATAAGACTGTGCCTGCTACATTTTCTTGTGAGGCCATCCAGACAAAGGTTACATTTCTGATTGGGGATTCTATGTCACCTGATTCAGATACTGAACTCAGGAGTCAGGCTGTGGTGGATCAGATTACTAGGCATCACACCAAACCATTGAAGAAAGACAGAGGGGCTAATGATTTACATCAAGAAACTAAACAACCAAACAAGGACAAATCTGTAGAGTCTGATTTACAAAGCCTGCTTTCTGGAGAGCCCTGTGAACTTCCCTGTTGGAGTCCTTCAGACCCAGAAAGCCTGAGCTTATTTGATGAATATTTTAATGATGATTCAATTGAAACCAGGACTATTGATGATGTTCCAGTTAAAACAAGTACAGACAGTAAAGAACACTGCTGTATGTTCGAGTTTTCAAAAAGATTGTGTGCAAAAAATAGCAAACAGAACAATGAACTTTGTAAATGTATAGAAACAATTCACCAAGATTCGTGTAAAACCTGCTTTCCTCAGCAGGACCAAAGAGATACACTCTCCATTCTTGTCCCCCATGGGGATAAAGAGAGTTCAGAGAAAAAAATTGCTGTAGGAACTGAATGGGACATTCCAAGAAATGAAAGTTCAGATAGTGCCCTTGGGGATAGTGAAAGTGAAGATACAGGTCATGATATGCCGAGACAAGTCAGCAGTTACTATGGAGGAGAGCAAGAAGATTGGGCAGAAGAGGATGAGATACCTTTTCCTGGGTTAGTAAAAACTTTTTTCACCTATAATTGGCCTTGTTATATACCATTCTTTTGTTTAGCTGGTCTATGAAGGCTGGTAGTAACTAATATAAAAAAGAGATGATTGTCTTTTCATATTCTTTCTGTTTTTGATACTGGGGATTGAACTCAGGGGCACTCAGCCACTGAGCCACATCCCCAGCCCTATTTTTATATTTTATTTAGAGACCGGGTCTCAGAGTTGCTCAGCGCCTCACCATTGCTGAGGCTGGCTTTGAACTCGTGATCCTTCTGCCTCAGCCTCCTAAACCGCTGGGATTATAGGTGTGCACCATTGCACTCGGCTTCCATATTCTCATTTTTTTTTTTTTATCATGAGCTCTTACTCATAGGGAGTATTAAAGTTTATACCCCACAAGCACCCCATAAAGACTTTGTGAAGGTATCTGAGAAGATACAGGATCTAGTTGATATATATAGATTACTTATTGCTTAGGAGTTTCTAGACATTTTGGAGTGAATTGTGATCATAAAAGGACCAAAACCTGTCAGTTAGGGATAGGTAATCACTGAGAAGGTAGGAAATTGCTATTCAAAATAAATGTGGTCAATACAAAGAGGAAAACAAGGAATGTATACTCTAGGTCAAGTATAACAAGGAGAAAAAAACAGGCTTTAGCAATGATGTACTCCCAGATATGGACAACAAAATTAGCAACTTTGTTTTGAGTAGCAGTTTTCAGAATCTGATTATATAGGACTGTGTTAAAAACACAACTCTATTTAAGTAATGAAAGATTCATGCTCACATTACAAAGTTGTTTATTAGCTATTCCCTGGATAAGAAGAGTACTTTGTGGTCTGAGCGCTTGAGGCAGTTTTTATTTAAGGATGATTTTACACTGAGTATATTTTGTAGAGAATAATGTAAGTGGAAATATGGACTAGTAGAATTCACTCTTTTGTTTTGTTTTTACTGGTGTAAAATATCTTTATTACTAATTAGATCTGTCTTCTTTGGGAATCTTTCTTCCAGGTCAAAGTTAATTGAGGTTAGTGCTGTTCAGCCCAACATTGCCAACTTTGGGAGGTCCTTGCTGGGTGGCTACTGCTCGTCTTATGTGCCTGACTTTGTTCTTCAAGGAATTGGGAATGATGAGAAGCTCCGCCAGTGTCTGGTGTCAGATTTGTCTCATGCTGTGCAGGTGAGTGTGTTCTTCATTTTATTTAGATCAAACTCAGGAGGACCCCGAATTGCCTTGTATTTTTGGTGATATGTGACCATGTAACATAATCATCTTTCTCTGAATCTGTCATTTTCTATACAGTGTTTACATCTTTGTACATTTCACTGTGAAAGCAAGTATACAGTTATAGTAATCTATCAAAATGGAAATGTGAAGTACAGAATGTACTTTACTCATACATGTCCTTAAATTAGATTATTTTCAATATCAAAAAATTACAGATGAAATGCAAATGAGATTATTTTCGTAATCTCCTTTTTGGATTGTTTATTATTTATATGTAGAAGCATTGACTTTTATACATTAATCTTATATCCTAAGACCTTGCTGAATCTTCTAGTTCTATTTTAGGGTTTTCTCCACACAGGCTGTGGTTATCAGTAAACAGTTTTATATATTCCTTTCCAATCTGGATGCCTTTTATCTCTGTTGTCTTCCTTCCCTTCCTTCCTTCTGCCTCATAGCAGTACAATGTCATTAGAAGGGGTGTCATTGTCTTGTTCCTGATCTTAGGGGAAAAACATTCAAGGTTTTCTTTTTCCTCTTCTTGTGGTACTGGTGAATGAACCCAGGGATGCTCTAATACTGAACTACATTGTAATTTATTAAAAAAAAGTTGTTCATAGTGTGCATTTATAATCCTTTAAATTTTTATAAGGTTGCTGGTAATGTATCTATTTTTTTTGTGTGTGTGTGTGGTACAGAAAGCTAAAAACAGGTCTTTCTACCATACAGTGGCAGCCATTCTTAATATAAATCCTTACAACCAGTCATGGTGGCATATACCTGTAATCCCAGCTACTTGGGGAGGCAGAAGCAATAGGATTATAAATTTGAGGCTAGCAAGACTCTTATCTCAAAATAAAAAATAAAAAGGACAAGAAATGTAGCTCAGTGTTTGCCTAAATGCATGAGGACCTGAGTTCAAGCCCTAGTACCACCAAAACTAAAACAAAACAAAAAAAACTCTGACAGTCATTTGGCAGCCTGTGGATACTTATACAACAGACTTGGCCACTTACTACCTCTATATCCTAGGACAAAATAATTTTTTTTTCAGTACTAGGGATTGAACCCTGGTCTTCACACATGCTAATATGCAAGAGCTCTACCATTGAGCCACATTGCCAGCCCATTTGGTTTATTTTGAGATAGAGTCTTGCTAAATTTCTCAGGCTGGCCTTGAACTTGCAGTCCTCCTGCCTCAGCCTTCCAACTCACTGGGATTATAGGTGTGTGGCTGGTTCTGAGTAATTAATTTAATAAAACATCTTTTCTCAACTATAAAGTGATAATAATGCCAGAGTTATGTTGTGTGGTGTTTTGTATTAGGTATTCTGTGACATATTTTTTTAATCCTTATTCTATATTTATATGTATATGTGTTTTTTAATACTATATAAATGAGGCCATATATATATTCCAAGTAAGTGAGCCATGTGCATATAATGTCTGCATATGTATTTGTGAATATATACTATATATTTTATGTATGTATAATTGAGACCTTGTATATAGAATATATGCATGTATGTATATGTAACATATATGTATATATGTGAATATATAAAATACATATATATGGTTCTATATTTTTTATTTTGAATTTTGCTTTTGTCACTGAGCAACTAACAAATTTATTTCTCCATATTATTAACATAGTTCATAAACATGTATTGATGTTTCTTGATTATTTCATGATTTTGTTATGGTTGATCTTTTTCTTATTCTGTGTGTGTGTGTGTGTGTGTGTGTGTGTGTGTGTTGCTGGGGATTGAACCCAGGGCCTTCTGCATGCACGGCAAGCACTCTACCAACTGAGCTATATCACCAGCCCACTCAGCCTTTTTCTAGAGAAGGGAGTCTCACTATATTGCCCAGGCTGGGCTCAGGTGATCCTCCTGACTCAGCCTCCCAAGCAGCTAGGACTGTAGGTGCACAGGACTGTGCCTGGCTGCTCTACTACTGAGTTCCATCTCCTGCCCCCTTTTATTTTTCATTTTGAGAGAGGGTCTTGCTATGTTTTGCAGGCTAGTCTCAAACTTGCAATCCTCCTGCCTTAGCCTTCTGAGTAGCTGGGAATACAGGCGTGCACGACCACGGGCAGCAAAATTTTTCATTTGATTTCTCTTAGAGAATTTGCATAGTGATTGTTCATTACTGGATAAAGTGATATCCTTTTAGGATGCCTAATGTAGGCTTCTTCAAGAGCAAACTTATATCCTTAGCAACTAAGAGCTATGTTAGCTAAGCAGCTCAGAGCTTAGCTCGATAAGTTGCTGAAGTTGGCTTTGAACTTGTGATTCTCCTGCCTCAGCCTCTCCAGCCATTGGGATTACAGGCATGCACCACTACACCTGCCTGTGCTTGTCATTTTTGATCTTTTTGGCTAAATCATCAGAAGCCAAGGGCACAGCCTGTGCCTCTTGGTCTTTTTATCAATATATGTAAGTTAAAGTATTTTTTTCAACTACACCTTAAGTTTTTTTATTATGAAAGTGTCATGCTGTGATAAAAATTCAAATAATACAAAAATTTGCAGAGTAAAAAGTAGAATTTTATTTTTGGAGCGTGAGTACTGGGGATTGAACTAAGGGGCACTCAACCACTGAGCCACATTCCCAGCCCTATGTTGTATTTTATTTTGAGACAGGGTCTCACTGAGTTGCAAACACAACTAGGATATAATAGTATATGTATATATTAGTATGATGACATTTGTTTTTCAACAGTGTATGTTGAACAGCCTTGTTAGTACATGTTGATTTCTCTGCTTTTCAATGCCATCTTTTACTGTGGATATACCTCTTGGTAAAATAGAAAAATCTAGTACACACAGGCAGTAAAGTACTTTATGTCATTAAGGGATAGCCCCTGTGGTGCTGAGGCATATCAATGCTTGGAAGCACAATTTACCATTAACTTGTTTGTATGGGTAAATTCTGTCTTATTTTAAAATTGTTTACCCCTTTCAAGCTAAACATATTTTCCCTGTTGCCTGGCACATAGTTAACAGTACATTTTCAAATGAAAGAATGATCAAAAGACTGATGAAAGTAAAGTTCTACATTAAAAGATACAGAATTCTGGTGATGAGTACAAAATCTCTATGATTTCCTCTGAGACATCTGAGGATGTCTCAAAGTATTTATTATTGAGTTAACTATTTCATTCTCCTCTGCTAAAGGTTCTTTGTTGTTAGCTGTCAGAATTTAACTTTTTTTTTTTTTTCTTTTCTGCTTTTGGTTAGTATTGCTTCATTGCCTCCTTCCATTTGCATTATCTTTGAATACTTTATTTGCTTATCATAAGTTGAATTCTTTTTTTTCCCCCCAGCATCCAGTGTTGGATGAACCAATAGCAGAAGCTGTCTGCATTATAGCTGATATGGATAAATGGACTGTTCAAGTGGCCAGCAGCCAGAGACGAGTGACAGATAATAAATTGGGAAAGGAAGTGTTGGTTTCGAGTCTTGTTTCCAACCTGCTTCATTCCACCCTTCAGCTTTATAAGCATAACTTGTCTCCAAATTTTGTAAGTATATGTAAGCCTTGAAAAACTTTGAGTAATCTAGTAGGTGATTATGTTTTACTTAGTATGTGCCTGAGTTAAATACTACTGCTAACTTCATTGGTTTTCTGAAACACTTGATGTTTGTTGCTCCCACCACCAGCCTTATTGTAATAGTATTTGGAGCTGAAAAGTTTGGCAGGTAATTAAGGGTAGATGTGATCCTGAGGTGGGGCCCACAGGGGTCCACTGATGTGATTAGTGGGTCTACTAAGGAGGAAAAGAGAGATTATTCTCTCTCTCTACTCTTTGAGGACACACAGAGAAGTTAGCTGTCCACCAGCCATGATGAGAGCCCTCACCAGTACCCAACAGTGCTTTCACCCTACCCTGATCTTGGACTTCTAGCTTTCAGACTGTGAGAAAATAAATCTCTCTTGCTGAAGCCACTGTGTTATTTTGTTATGTCACCTGAGCTAAGACTGAAAGGTTTGTGTATACATCAAAATACTGTAATTTCAGTGGCCATAATTTTCAGTCACCTGTAATATGGTCATATAACATCCCCATGCGTTATGTAGAATGCCACTGCATTCTGGACCCTCACTGCCACATCAGGTAGAGCACCTCTGGGTTCCATCCCTAGTATGTCCAAACCAAACCAAATCAGACAAGTAAACAACAATGGTAGTGTGGGGTAGGGAAAGAAAGAAAGAAAAAGAAGAAAAAACCTAGTTATCAAAACAAGTATACAAAAAAAAAACCCACTGATAACAACAAAATAGAAATCAAGTACAATAGTTTAACCAAATATATATTACCATAGGATGCAGCAGTTCTACTTCTGCATTTATACTCAAAAGAATTAAAAGTATGGACTTAAACATTTTAATGTTTATAGCAGCATTATTCACAATAGCTAAAAGTTTGAAATAACTCAAGTTATCATTAGCAAATGAATGGGTAAAGAAATTATGGTATAATACGTACAATGCAATATTTAATTGGCCAGAAAATGGAATAAAATTGCTTTTCTGTGAAGTGGCACATAAGTGTAATCCCAGCTACTTGAGAGCTGTATTCTCCCTACAGGAGAAGTACAAGTTCCAGGCCAGCTTGGGAAATTTAGTGAGATCTTGTTTCAAAATTAAAAAAAAAAAAAATGGCTGGACTAGCTCAGTGGTAGAGCTATGACATAGATGAACCTCAGAAACATAATGCTAAGTGAAATGAGGTAGATATAAAAGAAAAAATATTCTGTGTAATCCCAATTATATGAGGTATCAAGAAATTCAGACAAACTGCAAATAGAATAGTGGCTACTAGTGGGTAAGGGAAGTAGAAAATGTCAAGGCATTATTTAAATTCTGTTTGAACTGAAAAACATTCTGGAGTGTATGGTGGTGATGTTTGTATAACATTGTGAATCTCTTAATGCCATTGAATTATGTACTTTTAAATATTTAATATGATCAACTGAACATATTTTATATATATATATTTCAGTTAACATTGTCTTAAGACATTTTCATCTATAAGCAAACATTATGGAGAAAACATATACCACAAAATAGATGAGCTAAGAAATCCATTCAGTTGTGTTTTTCTAATAATGGGCTTTTATTAGGAGTCTTTAATAGCTTTTCATTGGAAAGGGGATTACTCTCTTCAAGAATCTGAATGTTTTAATACTTGAATCTACTGTTTTTTTCCTCAAATATCTATAGTATTTATTCATGTGAAAAACTGTCTCTAGTAAAATGAGCAAGCTTATTAGCACAAAGCAAAATCTAGGTATTTAATTTGATGTTCCAGGTGAGAAACCTTTTCAATTACAGAGTATTCTCTGAACTATTGCAACCTGACTTAATCACAGGAGAATACACCCTTTCCTATATATTTGAAATAAATCAATTTATAATAATGTTATATTTATCAAATTTGAAATACAGAATATTTTTTTAAATCCTGAAAATGAGTATTGCACATTTTGAATGTACTTTTTGTCAGTAAATTATACATTTTAAAATGGTAAATTTTATGTTACATGTATTTTACCCCAGTTTTTTTTTCCCCCAGTACCCGCTGTGACTTAGATGAATGCTATGACATAGATGAACCAATGGCACTCAACTACTGAGCCACATTCCTGGCCCTCTTTTGTATTTTTTTTAAGAGACATGGTCTCACTTAGTTGCTTTATGCCTTGCTTTTGCTGAGGCTGGCTTTGAACTCTAGATCTTCCTGCTTTAGCCTCCCTAGTTGCTGAGATTACAGGCTTGAACCACCATGCCCAGCCTTTACTACAGTTTTTAAAAAAGCACTTTTAGAAGCTAACCTTTGATAAAAGCCAGAAACAAATTTCTACTCCTTTTTAGCTAAAACTTAATGTGCTGTAAATTTTTGTTCATGTTGGAATAACAAAATAGAATTGAAAAAACATGATGCTTTGAAATTTGTCTTTCTTAAAGAGTTGGAACCAGTTTTCTCATCTGATTCTTGGTTCTTCCTTAACTGCAGTGTGTAATGCATCTTGAAGACCGGTTGCAGGAACTATACTTCAAGAGCAAAATGCTGAGTACTTGAGGGGCCAGATGCGTGTTCATGTCAAGGAGCTGGGTGTGGTTCTTGGGTATGTTCGTAGTTTCTTTTCTGGCTTTGCTTTCTCATTGCTCTGTCTTTAGGCAAGAGATGTTTCTCAGAATTGCCCTTTTTCCTTTTAAGTATATTTTCCTATTAAAAGTTGGCCATTGTTTTCATTTGGATTGCTCTGTACCATACAAAAGCAGATTCCCTGTCATTCACTGATCTGAAAGGCACTGTCCATTGTGCCACTACATGCAGTATAATGAGAATATATTCAGAGTGAATTACGATCTAAATTTTTATCTTAGAAAAAATAAGTTAATAGTAAGTTTTTATTTATTAAATATGTTGCAAACATTTTTCCAAGATTGTGTCCTATCTTTTACATGGTGAAGTCACAGCATTCTGAGGATGAATGTTTATATAAATATGTTTATTTACATATTTCTTCTCACCTTATCTATATGTCTGTCTCTTCTGAGTTATTCCATGGAAGGAAACAGTTATCCAAAATGCTAACTGCAGAGGAACAGAAAGTTTGTAGGAGAATAATAAAGCCCTATTTCAGTATATTCTTTGTTGGTGGTGTTTTCTTTTGTGTCTGTCTGTTTGAGACAGGATCTCCCTAAATTGCTGAGGCCCTCACTTCTTACTCAGGTGGGCCTCAAACTTGGTGATCCTCCTGCCTCAGCCCCCGAGTCTCTGAAATCACACACATAAACCACCATGCTTGGCTTCAGGTTGTTCTATAATCACCTTTTTTTGTGTTCTGTGACCACTTTTTTTTTGTGTGTGTGTATGTGTATATTTCATTTCTTGAAATACTAGTTGAAGAAATTATAACAAGAGAGAATTTTTTTTCTAATTCAGTTTTTATGAAGGGAAAAGTGGAGAACATCATTTAGGAATTTACTGTGTGTCACAAACCAAATTGAATTAAATTCTTTTATTAGTTTTACTCCTTTTTTGTGTGTGTGCATGCTGGGAATTGATTGAGCCTAGGGCTAGGACCTCAAAAATACTAAGTACACACTCTGCCACTGAACTACACTCCCATTTCTTAATTTTTACAGTCGTCCTTCAGTGTGTAGGCAGTATCATCCAGATTGGAAATCAGGATTTTGTAAATTAACATGCCAGATGTTACACACTAGTAGGAATGAGTAGGGATTTGGATAACTATATCTTTCTGACGGCAGATTCTGTTTATTTATACCATAGTACTACACTGTTGTTCAGGTCCTGATGAGGCTAGGCTATTGACTTGAGGAGTACATATAGAATTGTTGTCAAGTATTTGGGAAATCAGAAACAGTATATAATCTTGTTTATTCTAGGGAGGGAAATGTATATGTAATGCTTTTATTTTTAAAAAAATTAGACTAGTTTTTAAAATAATGGGCATATAGCCAAAGTTCATGCCATATTGGCTTTAATGAAAAGTTGTTTTCATCTTTCTCTCAGCTTTGGAGAGTTTAGACTCTTATCTGTTATTGTAGAACTGACCTTCTAATATGTCTTCAACATTTATTCATATGAGCACATACTGATCACTCATTTTAATGGCAGTATAGCATTCCATCATATATTTTATAGTTTCCTTTTTCTTTTCCTAAAAATATAAATCTTTGGCTTTTGTAGGATATATTTCTGGAAGGAGAATTTTTGGGAAAAGGGCACATAATTAAAAAATTTTAAAGATATTGTAATAGTTAATATTGAGTACTATGCAGAAAGTAAATATAAATTTCCACAAACAGCAAGAGCTAGGGTCTATTACCAGACTTTAAATTTTGCCAAGCTGCTAGCTGAAAAGTGGCATCTAATTTTATTCAAATTCCTCCAACTGTGAGTTAAGTCTGAGTTGCTTTTTCTATGTGTACTAGCCATTTTTCTTTTTCTGTAAATTGTTTTAAGATGTATTTTGAAGAAGTTTCCTTTACTTCTTCCAGTATACCTTATTATAGAAACACTTTTAGCCAAAACAATCTACACATAGTATTATTTTATTATACTAGATATTATTATTTATACATTATGCCTTGCATAAATGCAGTATTAGTAAGTGAATGAGATGCTTTCCTGCATCCATGAGTTTGTTACCTTTGAGTTTAGAGGCTTTCTTTTCATTTTTTTTAATTTAAATTTTTATTTATTCATTTATTTATTTATACTGGGGATTGAATCCAGGGGTAATTTACCACTGAACTACATCTCTAGTCCTTTTTATTTTTTATTTTGAGACAGGACCTCAAGAAGTTGCTGAAGGTCTCACCAAGTTGCTGGGGCTGGCCTTGAACTTGGAATCCTATTGTCTCAGCCTGCTGAGTTGCTGGGATTAAAGTGCCACCACACCCAGCTTTTCTTTCCTTTCTTTTAAATCTGTGGTTTTAAATTTTACTTACTAAAAAATGTTGTACTTTTGTTATTCTCCCCTCTCACCCTTTTCCTTTTGGCCAAGGTGACTCCTTAACTGCTGAGGCATAGTAACATTTCAGGTAGTTGTCATCATCTGTAGAATTCATATTCTCTGTACAGAAAGCCTGAACTGAGTTTTCTTTTCTTTATTTCAGTATTGAATCCAGTGATCTTCCTCTTCTGGCTGCTGTAGCAAGCACTAATTCTCCATATGTTGCTCAGATACTTCTTTAACTTTGGTGGAAAGTTAAATAGAAACCAAGGAAAGAGGCACAACATGTATTTATGAAATTTTTTTCCTGTTAGACCTCTGTCTGAATGAGTTCATCTCCCAGGTACCCTGCACTGCATTGCATATTCTGGGTACTTTGGATGAGTTTTCTTTTAACTGGATTTGGGGTGGTGGTAGGTTTTTTTTTTAACCAAGTGAAACTAAAGCAGCATAAATAATTTTGCTGGCTGGTGAGTGGGGGGCATTTGAAAAAGCCAAAGCATAACTTTGAAATTTCTACAAAATAAATAATATCAAGGAATTTCATGTCATCACTACAATGTTGTCACAACTCATAAATGAGTGTCTCATGATTAAATGGCTCAGAAGTAGTCATTAGTTTTTAATTCTGTAGAAAGCTAAAAAACCTTGATTATTTGTTATTTTGTTTTGCATTTCAAAATAGCTAATTTCTGGTTATTTCTCAATGTAAGTATTTTAAACATCCTGTTAATTACAACAAACTCAGAATAATGAGTGAAAATATATGTTATGTTGTCCACCCAAGTGTACATATGTATCTATTTTTTTTAAAATGCAGAGGTAGAAATACAAAATTGGTAAACATGCCTTTTCTAAAAAAAAATTTTCAACTAATATTAATTGTATATAATGTTATTAGTTTATGTGATTTTTTTTCTGTTTCACATATTCTAAAATATACATAAAGCCAATTTCTTTTTAAGGCTGAGGATGAGGATTCCTAAAATAAGAATACTACTTTATACTATTTGTTTTTTAAGTATGAGCTAATTCTTATAAATACTAATATTTACATATTCACTAATTTAATAAATGAAAATTAGGATAAGAAATTACACCAAAGCATTGGCAAAAATAAGAATAATATTTTCTTTAAAAGTGCTCAGGTAGTCAAGCCCCTTATTTTCATTATCAGCCCTTTTTGAAACCACAGGAGCAGAGTCTTTGTTACACTGCTTAAAATATTCAATTTACACTAATTGAAATTATAAATTATTCTCTTTTCTGTGACAGTTCCTCCCTTCCAAATGGTGATTTTTTTTCAGATTTCCACTTCTCAATTTTTGTTGTCTTTGTATATACTGTAGAATGTTGCTTGTAAGAAAGGCTAATATGAAACCAAACCCATGTAAGTAATGTAAATAGAAAGATCGGTAGATAAAGTTTTCAATATGCTCTACTACCTCAGTTTACTTGAATACTGAATTATAGTTTATTCTTTGCTTATCTGGTCTAAGATACATTAAATGGTAGAAATAATTCTGATTTCTGCTTTGACTCTTTCCATCACAATTAACTCATTAGCTTAAGAAAACCACTTGTTTATTCATTTACTAAATACATTTACAATATAGCACATCCATTCTTGCTATTATAACTTTTCAATGATCAGTGAAAATTTTATGTTCTTTGTTTAGTCAACCTTGACTAGTGTTGGGTCACATTTTCCTCACCCTTTATGTTTATTCAAGAGATTTCCAACTAGACAAAGAAGTGGTTGTTTTAATAGAAAGTAAATCTGAAATTGATCTGCCTACAGTTTGGCCCATGTCCTTTAGGTGGTACTTGTTAGTACCCAATTCTCCTGTGGATGACTTGCTGCCAGAATGTTTATGAATGTATTTTCTTTGGCTTAATTTTCTTACTCCATTCATTAACAGAACTCTTCTATTGTCTATTTTTGCAATTCAGTGAGTCGATCTCTGGCAGAATTCAGATTCTATAATACTTCCTATATGGGCCATTGTACATTATTTTTTGGTTGTGGCTCAGAATAATATGTAGCAGGTAGGTAATGTCTGTTTGAGTCAATCTTCTTAATCATCAAACTGTTTTCAGTCCTATTTGAAGTGTCTAATAAATTACTATTTAGTAATTCTAGTCTTCAGTAAGTGAATGGCTCATGCTGCTGTTATTCTTAAAGCTAAGCTTTGCTGGGAAGGAAAAGGTTCATAGTTTCTTAAGCACACCTTAATCCTTATAGGATTCCTGAGTTATAATTCCTAACACTCCTATAATTTCTGGACCTTCATCATAATCATTCTTTCCTTATATGAAGCCCAAGGAATGATTTACTGCTTTGGTGGTCTGTATGATGAATGTCAAAAGAGTTTTGACCTGTTTAAAATAAGTTTTTCAACTTCTTATGGTACAAATATGTTACATATCAAAAATATTGTTGCAACAAGCAATAAAAAAGGGATCTTTTATATGATAGAATTAAAACTAATTTTCCATACATATAAACTAATTGAGTTGGTTCTAAGTGTCCTGTCATTTATTAATATGTCTTAATTTTGAGTTTGAAAATATTAAGTGCAATAAACATACTAGCACAGATTTCGTTTTGTTGCAGTTGGCATACACTGAGGATGATCACAAAAAAAAAATCAGATTTTACGTAAGGCCTACTTCTGTTTGATGTCTTATGAGAGTGTTCTGCTTTCTCTAAGTTATTTAGATGATGGATATATAAAATGTACATACTTGTTCCTTGCTCAGAATACATTTTTCAAATGTACACCTGTATTATAATAACCTCCCAGTTCTAGGGGAAATTTGTGCAATAAACACACATCAATTTGATGGGTAGTGTTGGTCTTTCTTTCGTATGTTAATAAGATCTATGTAACATTATGGACTCTGATGTCAAACCAATTAGATGTTTGACACTTCTGGACATGTGACTTTTCAGTATTTGTAAAATATACATCATGAGGTTGTTGGAATTGAGTAAAATAATGTATGTCAAGAATTTACTTCAGATCACTACTGTGGGTTTAATCTCAGCACTAGAGTGCCTGGTTCCTTAATGCCTGCCCTAGCATTACATTCACTCCCCAGTACAGGGGTGGGATGGGGATACAACTCAGTGCTAGTGTGCATCAAATGATAAACCTTTTGGCTGTCACTAATAACCTGGTGATTTTACCAGCTTTTTCCCAATTGTTGTTGGATAATTTTTAACATGTTCTTATGAATAGAAATGCAATAACAAAACATACACTAATACATTCTCAGACTGTATTACTCACAATGACAAAATTTCTTTAAATGCAAACTGAACCCAACCAACTAAAACCTAGAGGAAGCTATGTGAAGCTGTTAAGAACATTGATTTGAATACAAATTAATTATTACAAGACTTTACAATTAAGCAAAAAATTGGCCAATTTGTTTGGGTTGTAATCCTGGTTTGTTTACTGATCTGAATGTGACTTCCAGTAAGTCTCTCCTTTTCATCTGCATTGTAGGGTAGTCAGCTCTTCCTTATATCCTTCAAGCCCACTCCCTAGCAGGAATTCAACCATGAACAAAGTTGTTGGGGAGCTGCCTTTCTCAAACCAGGTTGACTTGAACAGTTATGCTTGGAGACAGGACTAGACCAGGGACTTTGGGAGTACCTGTTTTCATATCATATTATGTGTATGACTTTTTTTTTCAGCAATTAGCCAAAGAAAATAAGTGCATTGTTTTCATGCAGAAGAAGTAGCTAATATTTGGGAAGCAACTATCAGTTCTCTTCATCTGTTTGCACATACACTTAGAAAAAAATCTTGCAACACTTCTGAGAAGCATCGAGGACTTGTGAATGAGAAATTGAGGTATGATCCTCAGCACCACAAAAAATAATAAATAAAATACATAAAGATATTGTGTCCATCTTAAAAAAATATTCAAAAAAAGAAATTGAGGTATAGAGAATTTAACATTACCTCAAATCATATAGTTTTCCCTATATATAGTCCATCTTGTCTCTCAGACCAGAAGTTTTCTTAACTAGTTGTGGTGAGAGATGTAAAGATATCTGGGATTTCTTCATTTGTCTTTGCCAATGTGGAACATAGAGGTGGGGTTGCAAGTGAAACAAATCTGAGCTGAAAGTGTAACAGGGACTGGGAAATTATAGCTCTGTGTGGGAAGGGATTGGGCCGATAATATAGTTGACAGGTTGGAGATGTAGCTTGCTGGTAAAGCATTTGCCTAATGTGTGTAAGGTTCTGGTTGGATCCCTAACACTGAAAGAAATGAAAAGAAAATAATACCCGTTAAAAAGTAAAATGGTCCAAAACAAATTTTTAAAGAATATGTAAAATTCCCATACATTATTTGTCAAGGGTACTTTGGTGGGGCTTTTGATCTGAACATATGCTCAGGTCATAGCATCTCCTCTCCCACAGGACACTCGGTCCCCTTATCACCTTTCTTTTAAAGTAGAATTTTCTTCCAGGGAATATATGACTCTAGACTGTGATCCCTTCATATTGCAGATAACTCTTGGTCTGTATTAACACTATCCTTTTAGACCTCCTGCAGATAAACCTTGATTTTTATTCTAGAGAGAGTTATCAATTTTTTTATTTTTTTTTTTCCTTTGCATTGAGAATTGAATCCAAAGGCACTTTACCACTGAGCTACATCCCTGTTCTTTCTATTTTTTATTTCAAGATAAGGTCTTGCTAAGCTGCTGAGGCTGTCCTTGAACTTGTGATTCTCCTGTGTCTCTGCCAAATCACTGGGATTACAGGCATGTGCTTACACATGCCCAGTGGGGAAGTATTATATTAGGATTGAAATTCCAAATGACTGTTTTCACAAAGGAGAAGAAAAACATGTCTTTATATTCACCTAATTGCTCAAATTCATATTACTGATAAAGGCATATTACTTTCGTAAATTGTATCAAACAGAACAAATCTGATGAAATGTGTAAATACATGGAAGGAGTGAGTTATTATTATTTCCTTTAGAAACTTATGGTACCACCCTTTTACGACACATTGAGTCTGTCTCAAGTATAGGAACTATAGTTGAAATGGGTGAAATGCTAGTCTAAAACCTGAGTTTAAGAGATTCTCAAACCTTAGAGTATATTAGAAACACCTGGCTTTTTTTTCCCCCCCCTTTGGTACCAGGAATTGAACCCAGAGGTGCTTAACCACTGAGTCCCATCCCCGTTCCTTTTTAATATTTTATTTAGAGACAGGGTCTTGCTGAGTTGCTTAGGGCCTCACTAAGTTTCTGAGACTACCTTTGAACTTGAAATCTTTCTGCCTTGGCCTCCTGAGCCACTGGGATTACAGGTGTGAACCATTGTGCCCAGCAAACACCTGGCTTTTGAAACACACACACAAACGCACACGTTTTTGGCTGTGCTGGAGATCCAACCCAGGGTCTCAAGATGTGTAAATGGTTTCGAAAAACGTTAATTCCTATCTGGGTTGGTTCAGTGGCACACACCTTTAATCCCAGCTACTCTAGAATCATGTTAAACATAAGTTTGAGGATCCCAATTTTGAGGACAGCCTGAGCAACTTAGGGAACTCTTGTCTCAAAATTATTTTCAAAAAGGGGCTGGGATTTGACCCAGTAGTAGAACACCCTTGGATGCAATCCCCAGTACTACATACACAAAACAATTTTAATTTCTAAATCCTGCCTTCAGAGATTGTGACTCATTGATAACATTCTGGATTTGAACCAGAAGTTCTATGGTAACTCAATATTCAGCATACTCATGCCTCAATTCCTTACCTTATTCCAAGTGCTACTAAAACCAGAGCTTTTTACTCCCATTTTTTGTTGTTGATTTACAGTTAATTGGAAAGGTGGTCATATACATCTGCTCAGTGGCTTTCAGTTTGGTATGTGCAATAGATCTAGCCAAATTTCTCTCTTTACCACTGTAAAACAATCAAGTGCTTTACTTTGCCTTGCCTTTACTACTACTACAATTACTACTACTACTTCCTGTTGTTATTTTTTACAGGTATGTGCCATTATGCCCAGTTTCAAAAGCCTATTTTGCCAATAGCAAAATTCCTTCTTAGTATTTAGTTCTATTTTTTTTCATTCAGCAAATAATTATTGAGCACCAGTTATGTGCTAGGTAGGGATAGATTTGGGTGCCAGGGAAATGTCAATAAAAAATACAAACATTCTTTTCTATTCTCATGGAGTTTACATTTTCCCCTCTGGTGCAAAAGACAAATCAGGTAGTATAAGTACCATGAAAAAAAAAATGAGGTAGAGAGTTAAGCTAATTTTTTAAAAAACCTAACCATGTTATTTTCCCACAATTTAATAAATTACTTGCATTCACATCATTATATTTTCACCTTACATACAGTTAGTGCTGGCAAATCCTGTCCTGGAGGTTACCTTATACAAGTTGGTTAAGGCCAAGATAGATTTTGAATATGTGCCCATTTTTAGATAATGGACAGCATTATTAGACAATTTTTAATTGCCACAACAAAATACCTGAAGCTGTATAATATGTACAGACATAGTTCTGGAAGCTGGTATTAAAAATAGCATGGGGCCTGATTAGGCAAGGTTCTTACAGCAACCCCTCTTGGGAATTACTGGGGTCCCTTCTGGGGGCAATGTCCAAGTGATATAATTTCCTCACATTGGGTTCTGTCTAGTAAAGTTTCCATCCATCAACACACTGGGTTCATGCTTCCAACACATGAAACTTTTTGGGGACACACCAGCAGCATACCGGATTGTCATTGTGGATAACTATTATTGCTGTCACAAAAAAGTCTAATAAAACAAGTTATTTTTGTGTACTAATTCATTTTCTCTTATGGCATACTGAAAAGTGAATATACACTCATGTAACAATTACCCATGTCAAAAAGTAGATTGTTTTCAGCAATATAGAAGCTCCCTCCTACCTGTACCTTGTCTCTTTATGGTGTGTGGGGGGGAATTTACCAGGGATTGAACTCCAGGACACTCAACTACTGAGCCACATCCCCAGCTCTATTTTGTTTTTTATTTAGAGACAGTGTCTCACTGAGTGGCTCAAGGCCTTGCTTTTGCTGAGGCTGGCTTTGAACTCACAATCTCTTGCCTCAACCTTCCAACCTGCTGAGATTACAGGCGTGTGCCCACCCTGCACGGCCATATACACCCTATCTTGATCATAATTTCTCATTTTTGTAACTATCAACATGACTTTTTGTGAATGTGTCCTTGTTTTTTTCTTTAGTTTTGTCTTTGTGTATGTATCCATAACTAATACTTGTGTTTGAACACTGAGTGTATTCATACTCCTTATTTTGTTTTTGTTTTCCCCCTCAACATTGTTAGGAGATTCGCCCATGTGCAATGCAGCTGATATTGCACTGAATGAGTATACCATTCTGATATTTGACTTATTTCTTTGTTTTGGCAACTATGAGCATTTTTGTCCATCTTTTTTGGTGTACATAGGTATTCTTTAAAACATTTATAAAGGAGTGGACTTGCTGTCATGGAGTGTTAAGTTTCAGCTTTATAAGATACTTTTCCCCCCTGCCAAAAATGTTTTTCCAAGAATTCCTCTTGTTCTACATTTCATGTTTCTGAATAGAAATGAACAAACACATTAAACTATCCATTTCTTCAAACTTGAGTTTCTACTTTAGAGAAATCATTTCCTAGAGGTAAAGTGAAAATAATGAAGAATGTTTGAATTGTGCAGGCAACATAGTAAGTGTTTAAATGAATTTTCATCTGTAATCTTAAATCCTGAAGCTATAAGTCCTTTACTATTCCCATTTTATAACTGAAGAAACTGAAGTTCAAAGATA